ATAGTATATTTATCATAAGAGATAAATCTAAATAAAGAATAATCTAAAAGTATATTATAGTAACTTAGATTAATTAATTATAAAGAACTAAATATATATATATATATATATACGTAAGAAGTGTCTTTTATATATCTAGTATTTCCTATTCTATAGATAGGACTCCTATTCTATTAAAGGATAGATTTTCTATCCTTAACTAGGATTATATAGTATATTATATAATCCTCCGGAATAGTCGTTCCCTAGGAATATCTGTAGAACTATATATATACTAGATAATATCCGCTAAGAGGATACTATATTATAGCTTACCCTAAGTGATTACTAAACCTGATTCTGTGTAAGATATTTTTTCTACATAGCTCCGATTTCGTTCCTAGGAGTACGGTTCCCGTCTAGTCTCTACTCCTGGGAAGTGTCCGTGTAATACTTCTTATTAGCTGCACGTGACGTATATGTACAGTGACCTGTTCTATTAGTTGATTAGCTCTCGGTGGCCTATTTGTAAGTTGCGGCCCCTTAGTCCGCGGGGTCCGTAAGAAGAAGTTAGAGTAACTTAAGGTATAGATCTTAGATATAAGTAAGATAAAGCTTAGTATAGATCATCCTAATACACTAAAAAGCATAGCTAACCTCACATTAATACACAGAAAACAGGGCCGATAGGAGAAGGCAGAGTAGCCCCGAGATACAGATTATAGAGACTCGTAAGAAAAGCTCGGCGCAGAGCATCTTAATACAATAATAAGTATAGCCAATCTTACGTCGACACATAGGAAGTAGGGCCGGTGGAAGGAGGCGGAGCAGCTCGAGGTGTAGGTCATGGACACTCGTAAGATAAAGCTTAGTGCAGAACATCCCTCAATATTAATGAGAATGGCTAACCTAGCTTTTACCATGCAATCTGCCGGTCAGTATTCCCAAGTGATTGATTTGCTAAAAACCTGCGTTGCTAAGCAGCACCAAATATTAGGCCCTAGTATCCCAGTACACAGTCTTATTCCGTCACCCTGCTCACATGTAAAACTGGGGATCCGGCCATCGATATGTGATCAATCCATTCCTTCATTTCATGCTGCGTTGGCTACTGTAGGTGCCTCCGGTGTGGCAGTATATTCAACTTTGCGGTTCACGTGTTATTTAGCTGAATCATCAATCATATATTGATGACTGTGCGTTTTCCTGTATATGTAATTTACAGCTGGCATAATAAAGCCTTGAAAGAACCTGATTCTGTAAGATTTGCAAAGAAGCCTCTGCGTCCGCGCTAACTGTATCCAGTGTAGTATGTTTCAAATTGGGGTTCCAGAAACAATCTCTCTCTGTAAAACGTGGAAGCCAATTTCGAATCTGAGTGTATAAGTACTTTTGTATAACCCGCTCCACAGGTGAGCGATCCGAACGGTCTACTCATAGATGGTCCTCGCCTCGACTTCAGTCGATGAGACTATCAAGCTATAGGATACAAACAGCGAGAAACGCCTCTGGGCCCGCAAGGCCAATTGCAACCTGGTTAGCTTGGTCACCTTCTCCAGTGGTTCAAGTCTCCTCACCTCGGCTTCCGTCAATTTCATATTAGAAAATGGTATCAAGCTGTGGGATGTCGACACTGGGGACTGCCCAACAGACCCTTCATGATGAAAGACATGTCACAGTAAAATCATTTGACATTACCATCCCAGGTCTCCAAACTGATAACCGTACCATATATTTACCTTCAATTTTAAATATAGGACTATTCCGCGTTGATCCTCAAGTGCAGTGATTTAAAGGATATACTCTAGCAAGCTATGGAGAATATTCCACCATGTTTATAGGACTTGAAGACATGCTAGATGTACTCATACTTCAACCACCTTATGCCAACCTAGAGATATTGTACCCTGGTCCTACAGCAGAGAAGGACTCTAGGGCATTTTGTGACGCTGGATTATAGCCTCTTCGTTCCTGATACCCTGAGAGCATCCGCGGCCGCTCAGCCCTCGGTGGGTTATCCCATCGCGCTTCCCCTGGTGACGGCCACCTTCGCGGCATAGCAGGTGAGCCAAGCCTATCTTCCTGGCGTCTTGATCGGTCAAGCTCGGGTCCTGGCGCTGACTCCTCCATTGCTAGCATCATCTCACGTAAATTTGTGAATTCGCCGGACTTAGACGCGTTAACGATATCCGACCATTCTTGGATACAGCTTTCTTTCGCTCTCGCTTGCATTATCAGATGCTTCTTCTTGTGAGCACGGATTGCCTGTGAGAAGCTCTTTCGAAGTTCATCTGCTTCTTCTACCATCATGGCCGCGCGATCTGCAACGTCCAGCATTTGCCGCAGTCTTGACTCCTGGTCGTATGCAGAGATGACATCGAGCTTGGGTATCGAATAAACAGGACCTTCAGGAGCCGTTAACGTGCGTGGGATTCCAAAGGAGAAAAGATAACACGCCTTGGCGGAGAGACTCAGCCGTATGTCAAACTCTGCCTCACAGTTCACAAACAACAGCAAGCGAACAATTTCAGGTAACCCGCTCTTACTCCCCGGTTCCTCGTACAGTCGCCAGGAAGCATGTAGTCTGTCTCTTATAGCTCCATGGATGATTCGGACACCTTTGTACGTCGACTTCCGAGTCTTTGAACCTTCCATACTGATATTTACATTCGATGGCCCGCCGGTGCCAGCGGCGCCAACTGTAAACTTCTGACCGGAGGTGATCTCCTGTTCGGAAACCTCCATTCGATCTGCCTGGGGCAATACTCCCCGGATGTGAGGACCATGTTCGGAATTATTGGAGCTGACAATAGCGTCGACCTGGGCATACCGGATGCGATGACTCATAGAATATGGTCGCATGAAGTTGAGCTTTAGCTGAATCTCATGCATCTCTCTCCCTTCGTGTACACATGGCCTGATAGATTCCAATTTCGCATCGAAGCTGATATCGTGGTTGTCGTAGCTAGCTAGGACGAAACCGTCGCCGTTATCGCGACGTACTCCGCTCCAGAGATTGGGGTTGGATTCGGTCGTCAGGTGCATCCCTCTACTTTCTTCCTCGGGATTTTCGCTTACCTTTCCGATCGAATCACGGATAGGCCGGCCCACTGTATCATCACTCATAGGTCTGGTATACGACAAAGGCTGCTTCTCGAGTTCATCAGAAAGCTTCGAATATTGAGCAAGCAAGTCCACTATCTCTTTCAAGCCCCGCTGTTTGGCCAGTTGCAGCGCCGACATGCCTTCATACCCTTTCATGTCAGCATCTGCCCCATACTTGAGCAAAAGCTTCACGACATCCTTCCGCCCAAACTGGCAGGCCTTATGCAGCACCGTATTCCCATCGTCATCAACCAGATTCACATCCGCCCCATACCGAAGCAGAACCTCCATAACCTCAACCTGTTTCCCACTCAAACACAAATGTAACGCCGTCTGTCCCCAATGATCAACAACATCAGCTGCCGCCCGGAACTGAAGCAACATCTCAGCAGTGTCCTGTGAACCCCCAATCGCCGCTTTATGCAACGGTGTGCGCCCATCATTACCCTTGACATCAATTTCCACATCAGTCTCAAGCAGCAAGCGCAGGATCCCGACCGTCCCGAGATTACTCGCCACATGCAGCGCCGTCTCACCGTTATTCATCATCTTGTTAACGTCCGCCCCACCCTCAATCAGCAACTTAACAGCACCCTCATTCCTCGTAGAGCAGGCAACATGCAATGGCGTGTTTCCGAGGAAATCCCGAGCATCGACATCAGCACAGCGTTGGATAATGAGCTTGACAATCTCTGAATTGCCGCTAGAACACGCCTTGTGAAGCGGCGTTTGGCCGTCTCTGCTGTCGACGTAGTCGATTCTCGCTCCCTGTGACAAGAGAGCGATGGCTCTGTCGACATCGTTTTCGCCGGCAGCATAGAGTAGCAGGTCATTGTGCGCGACCTGTACTAGGTTATCTTGAATACTCATCATTTTTGGTTAAGGCGGGCAATTAATTGCGCACTCACGGCTCCGTTCATATCCGCCGAGGACCCTAGAATATCGCCATCTTGCGCAGACTCAGGCCGCTCAGACTTAACGGAGATTATCTGAACTGGCTCAGTGCGGTATCGACTGACTCGGTCGTCCATGGCGGCCAGAAAACTGGTCACTTCCGCGAGAGTAAAAAGCTCCTGGCGGTGCTGTGCCGAGTGGGCTCGATGCTTTGACCGATTACTCCCGCTAAGGTGAGAGGTTTGGTTGTCACTGGGTCAAGTGGGGATTGGGGTCGGGCTCAGCCGCACTTCATGTCACTACAATCCAACGATGTGTTCTTGATACAGTAACCGGCCCCACATGTGGGGCCGGTTATTATCTAAAGCCCCTCGTGAGGTACACTCCTTCTGTGTCCAGCTGTCGTGACTATTCCACGCAGTAACTCACAAGACCTGTCTTTATGGAGTGTAAAGTCGTGTGAGCCATCAGATGTGACATTTCTGAGAACAGGCTTTCTCAGATATCTATCCTTCCGGCGTAATTCAATAGGCTTTCCACTGGAAAGGCCATTTTTGGCCAAGTCTTCCACATTTTTGATGCCAAAAAGAGCACCGTTTCGGAGGGCAATGGCTAGGAAGAAATAACCAGACGTAAATTGCGGTTTGTGGGTCATAGAAATAGATTTCAGATATCGGTTTACAGTTAGTAAAGGTGATTTCAATCGAAGCCAACCAGATCAAGGCTGCTTTTTAAGTAACCCATACTGCCTAACCTGGGGTTCGATTCCCCTTGAGTCACGCCTGCTTTACTTTCCACTCCACCTTCCAAGGTACCGTAGCAGATAGAAAAAGAACCAAAACGATCTCTTTTGTCGAGAGTTAGCCATATGATATCCCAGAATCAAAGTTTAATCACCTCATATCTTATACCTATAACGCTTACCACGTTATGGGTGGGCAGGATGACACGAGTACTAGTATTGTTGATTTTTTTGAGACCCTATTATTGTTGTTAATTATTTGCTTTTTTATCAATTTTCTTCAACTTATTTTGCCTTTTTTTTTGAGCAGGTTTGTAAAGAGAGCAAAATGAAAGCGGACAACGACATAAACAGCCATGCTCACGAAACTTGAGAAGTCGGTGCGGTATTTGCGGCCATCTGGGTCCGGGTAATAGGCGCTCATAGAGTATGCGACGTGACGTGAAACCCAATATTCACCGCGGAAGAGGATCTCCTTACGGCATATCTCGCCCTTGTAGGATGAGCCACCGTAGCCAGAGCTGCCGCCGCCGCAGTCCTTAGTTACCATGCTATCTGAGTCGGTCTTCACATAGTAGTCGGAAACATAGTAGCCATCAGAGGTCTTATCCCAGATAGAGTTGCCGTGAATATCTTCACCATATGCCTGGCAGGTGATCTTGATATCGGCACCCTGGTCGTATGATGTGACAACCACATCACCCGCGCCTTTGCGATAATTGACATCATCGGTAGTGATTTTGTATGCATTGGCCATAGAGAAAGCTGCAGCTAGGCTCAGAGCCAAGTTGATAAGCTGCACAATGGCGAACAGAGCCAATTATGTGAATACTGCGTATTGGTGATTCTTCAGTCAGAGTTATTGTGTTTCTTAGGACTCTTTTTCCTTTCGATTGCCACAAGAGATGGTGCAAATTTTGATTGGCTTGAAACTTGTAACCAGAATCTTGTACTTCAGGCAGGACTTGTATAACTAGTGTGTCGATCTTCAACACGTGTCGAACGCGATGGGATTGCACAGCCCAACAGGATCATCGCTGAGGCAGATCTGTCTAAAATTAGTGCTAGGAAGTATGTTAACGAAAGCTGGGAACTTGTTGTAGACGATGGGGAAGTATGCATTTGAGTTGATTTTCCCGCAAGTTCAGAACTCATCTACAAAGACCTCGTAATTAGACTTTTTAATTCTCAATTTCTCATAAGACGAGGAAGATGGTGAATATGAATCTTACCCTGGGGGTTAAATGTCCCAAGTAAAATATCCGAGGCAAATACGATGTGAGGTTCGAAAGCTTCGGTCACGCTGCCAAAAATAGTCCCGTTTCTATACGAGTCGCATGGACGATCGGCAGGGTCTAACCAAAACCCAAGATTGCTTGGCAGGAGGATGAAAGATCAACAAGCCACTGCAATCTTGAGGAATGAAACGAACAGGATGTAATAATTATTTTCCGGTGCCGCTAAAAGAATTACTCTTGAGCCTCGCGCTACACGAGTTGCATCTGCGATTGGCTGGGTTATATCTTCAAAGCGGGCAAACCCCGAAGAAAATATGTCGGATGGAAACTCGCCAGCAGTAATTCAATTCTGGAAGACCTGTTGTCCCAGAAAAATACTCTACTCCGGTTTCGCCCATGTAACAACTAACACAACGCAGAAAATGGCCATGAAGAGGCTGAGAGAGATGAGTTGACTGGGGCTCGAAAGCGAAACCAATAAGGTTTTAATCTTGAGATTTCTGTAGGAGATCCGTGAAATGGGTGTCTTGGCCGTCGATGGTTAGTATATGCGTTTTTCCGCTCTCTCCGTCCCACTTTTCGTGGCATTATTGAAGTGCCAAGCCATTCAGCGGCTAGTTTTTCGGGAGATCCAACCCTTTGGAGAATAGGCGTTAGTTTGCATAAGGTGGAAGAGCCTCGCTCCCCTAATACTCAGCTTCCATGAACGCAGAGCCTTTGAGTATGAACACTGGATCCATCAGCTGGCCATCAGCAGCGATACACTCAACGGCTGTGATAGTCTCTCTGTGTCCAGATCCAAGGAGATCTTGACTTCGAATTGTAAAATAAATTTGTTGAACATGAAAGTGGTAATTTGACTATGATCCTAACTGCTCGATAATAGTTCTACACTTTCCTCAGGCTTGAGCCGAAATCACCGAACAAGACGTCATCCGACAGATTTCCTGCCTTCACGCTCTCTATGCTTTCTTCTCCGAGTCAAACTCCATACAGAGCATTAGAAGATTAAGTTTGATCCATCTAAATGTGAAAGTCCCTATTAACAACTTAATGCAGGATTCTTTTTCGACTCCCAAGTCCTTCATACTTCTTCGTCAGTTCACACAAAAAAGGGGTGGGTTAGTGCCAAGCCACCCGGTCCGGTCGGAGGTAAACAACGAACCCGACCTATTCATAGATGCAAACACGAGAGCTAAGAGCCTCTAAATGTAGGAGAATCTTGGCACAGCCATCCATTCAGCTTTTTGTCAAGACTTAAATTGATCCACCTGTGATTTTACCTGATTGGGCAATGCATGCCAACGTCAGCCACTCTGAGCCGCTTAGAGAACTTTCCTAGTCAGACAAACACGCAACGTCACGGCTTGTTTTCGCTCGACAAACGAAAGAACTTGATGATAGAATTACTGGGCATGTATAGATTCGCCGAAGCACCGCTAGATCGAACGTCGGTAAGCTAGTGTTCATCTTTAGAATATACTAAGGCGTTACGATGCTATATTCGGCCTGCCCAGAAGAGACCCACGATACTAAGACGAGAGTTTACGAAGTCATAGTTGAACCCCTCCTCAATGCGGTATGTTAGGCGGTCGATTGATACTCATTGACCTCAAACTTAATCACTACGAATAGCTTCGTATACAATCTTTACTTGTCAAAATGCCCCGCAATTTGGGTCCTTCTGGTCATCGTATACATCCTTGGCAGCCCCGATCAACATCATTGTCAATTGCCGATCGTTCGTGATGAACTATTTTGGGCTTCAGCTGAAGAAGACACGAGAATGAGCAGATGGAGTGGCCATGTCATTCGAAACTTCACGAAGAAACTCATGGCAATCAATCCGGATAAAGCATAAATACCTCCATCTTTCCTGCCTTCTATGACCATTATCTACTCATATCAGACTCAAGAGCCTCAATCAACCAACCACTCCCAAAAACTCATTACAAACTTTCCAGTTCATTCAATCTCCCAAACAATCCACCAAAATGAAATTCGCCGCTACCACCATCTCCGCCCTCGTCACAGTGCTGCCCATGGCCAACGCCTGGATCTTCTCCACTACCGCCGGTCAGTGGGATGGCGAAAACAACCGTCGCTGCACCAAAGCCTCCTCCAGCGCCGGCGAGGTTATCGACTGGGAGAATGAGTGGGGCTCTGACTGCACCCTGCGCGTGTACAGCGACAGCAAGTGCCGCACTCAGATTGGTATTGCGTCGGATGACTGGAATGACCACGAGCTCAGCGCTGCGATGGGTAGCTTCAAGGTTTCAAGCTGCTAGTTGCACTACGCGCCTATAAGAGGGTCGGTTAGAAAGGAAGGGGATTTGGACATTCATTTGCTGAGTTCTTGCTGGTTTTATTGCCTTTATGTTCTTACTTCATTGTGACATTCTACACAAGTATTGCGGTAAAGAGGAAATGGACTCTTTGGTACCATCGGGCTGCCATGGAGAAGGTTCAGGCAGCTTGAGAATATATAGGAATATATCTAGAAAAACATATTCAGGAACCAGCTTTGTTCTACGCCGATGCATAACCTTCCCAGAATGAGATCCATGGTACCCCTTCTTCAGATTGGCTCATTAAAAAATAGGAGGCTTGTGAGGTATATACTAGCGGGTAAGCAGATGAGTCGTCTAGAAATACAAATCTTCTCGGTCTAGTTTCTTTCAGAGACGGACATATTCTCAGCTTTACGAAACAAGGGGAAAACTTCACCAGCGTGCGGTCAATAACACTGCACTAGCAGCGAAATTCCAAGAAACTAAAACCTTCGGGATCTTACCTTAGGATGTGAGGTACTAGATTCCGGAAGAGGCCCTTCGAGAACCATATCAGGATTGGTTAGAGACCCCCATTCACGGTTGAATATTATTAATGCCGATCAATTCTGGAAATACGAAGTGATCAACAAAATTGTGGGGTGCCTCGGTTCTGTCATCCGCCAACACGAAGGAAATTTCTTTAAGGAGCTAGTTTGTGCTTTCATCATGTAAAAGTATTCAGGCTTGTAAGTTACTTATCTCCTTATTTATCCGGCGAAAGTTATCATGGAGTCGCAAAATAATGAAGATTTGTGCATAGCTGTGCGATCAGTGATTTTCAAAAGGCATGTTTGTTAATTATCTCTTTTGCTCTGAAGAAGCCAACAGCTTTGGCCTACCATATGAGAGTTGTATACTGGTTTATTAATCGGCCGTGCAACTTCGACGCCTATTGTCTCTCTCCAATTCGGCTATACCAAGCGACGATCCGACAACTTCGCTGGATATCACCAAATATGATGAAGATCTCCCAAGGCTAAATCTTCAGGTTTTCAATCACCCACTTGACTCGGCTATAAATTCCTTCTCTTCTTCCTTCTCATCCTTGAAATTTGCACAACCTCCGCACGAGAAATCCAAGGGCGAACAAATCAACAACCATAAAGCAAATCGATTCAATTTCTATCAGTGGAAATCAAAATGAAAGCCAACCTAATTTACATTCTCGCCATCTTTACCGCCGGCGTATTCGCAACCCCCAAGCCGAGTCTCGGCAACACCCTAGGTGCGCGATCCGGTACCTGCCACAAACCTAGCTCCTGCAGCAAATTCTGGGCGGGCAAATGTGAGCAGTACTGCGAACCTTACAAGTTCTCTCATATGACCAGCGACGGGTGCCATACTTTTGCCCAGAAGTGCTGCTGCGATACTACCAAGGCCTAAATCAGGAGCGCTTGATCCATTTTTGGGCAAAAAGTGTGACAGGAAGGAGGGTTGTGGTATGATACGCTGTCAACGAACTTAACGGTGTGATACCCGTCTCGACCCTATTGATATTCTTGGGCTTGAGGGCCAGAGTGGCCGTGGGGATGAGCATGGAGTCGCTACTGAGGCACCCGCGACGAAAGGCGTTGTTGCGGAAGTAGACCTCATCACCATTATTGAAGCCCAGGCTCGCGCCCTCCTTGGATGATACACCACATTACTGTCCAATTGTATATTGGTGATGGCCAGACTATTATTCCGGAAGCCTTGAAAGGTTGAAAATTATATATATAACATAATATCACCAATCACCTACAAGAATCCCATAAATCCACATGTATACAATAGAATTTATCACGGGGCTGCCCTGAGCCATTTTTTGCGGCGAATCACTATCAATTTCTGGAATCTCCCACATGGGAAACTCTCTTAAGTCGCTCGAATATCTAACTAAGGCTTCGTTGTAAAATCTGTGACTCTATAGGCAGATTCTGAATAATTTGGACTATATACCATATGGCAGGAGAGGCTAGGCCCGGTTTAGTGGGGACAATGTAAACAATCCTCCCTAAAATACGAGAAATGGCCCACAACCCTTTAGAACTTCTGTGTCACAGCTCTCATCACCAATATTAGGCAAAAAAATCACCCTCGAAGAAAGAAAATCATTGTAGTAGGATATTTGAGGCCCAAAAAACTCGCGCCTAGCCGCTAATCAGCTATACTCCTCCCAGATAGATCATTAATTATCGCGTTTTGGCCTTCCTTCATTTTGCGGGCTAATACCTATCTGACATGAATCGACAATGAGTACTGTAGCTGAGGCTCTTCGTATATAGCTTGTGTGTGTAGAAAAGGGGTAAAATACTCCGCGCAGGGATCGCGATTGGCATTGAATACGAGGACGGTACCCCGATAGGTCCTGCTATTGTGGTTCTTTGGTGGGATGCCAAGGCTCGTGTAGAGGGTGATAGACCACTCCGGTTCCTTTTCCGTCCTTTCGGCCCGCCCCTGCTCAAGTCAAAGAATTTTTGCCAAGGCATCGTCCGCTAGACAAATGTTGCTCTGTCTCGTATTCAGATGTAACGACAATTCTCCTTGTTGATCATCACCCATGGCAATTCCACTTCAAGAGCATTTAGTATATGCACGGACATCGCCTGAGATACGAAAATGGCAAATTGCGGCTGAGGCCTTGGGGAGCCTACCCTTATAACTATGAGCCGTAACCCTTCCCGGGATGGTTTTATCATTACCACAATTTACAGTATACTTCGCAGCTCTGAGCCCTTGAATTATTTCCAACGATTTTTCTTCTCCAGAAAGCTTGATTCAGAAACAGCCATGCGTTTTCTATGTGTTGCCCTCATGGGCCTCGCCTCTATCTCCGTCACCACTGCCAGCGACTTTCAAAGCTGGGATGACATTGTCGGGGACGCCCCTCAATGCATAAAAAGCTGCCTCGACGACTTTTACAGCAACGCCGGCCTCAAGGACGAGTGTGGAAGCAGTGATGACGCTTCGATGAATTGTCTCTGTAACGCATCATCTTTCACCGCGGCCCAGTCTTCAGCAAATGACTTGAGCACCTGTATCCAGAAGGGATGTGACTCTGGTGACCTGAGCGAGCTTTCCTCCAGCCTTTCAGACTTTCAAGATCGATTTATGGATGCTGCTGAACAGTGCCAAAGCGGCGGTAAGCTTTTCTATAATCATTTTTTAGCCCGCTCAACAGCTACTGAAGATAGAGCCCTAAAATGCTGACTCTGACACAGACTATGATAAAAATGCTGCCAGCACTTTGGTTCCTGGACTCAACGCTCTCCTTGCCTCCGGAGCTGTGCTGCTCATTGGTGCCGCTCTATGAAGCCCTGTCGCGTCAGGGCTTTAAAATTCAGTGAAACCAGCTAGTTATTGCTAGTCGCTATACCATAATATAACGTCTCGAAGATTTAATTATAATAGACTTAGATCCTCCGTGATAAGAAGACATGGCAGTTTGTAAGGACTCAAATGCTTTGAAAGATAGCAGTAATATTGAACGAATGTATTAAGCTGAGAGAGAGAGAAGAGAAGAGAAGAAGGAGAGAAGCTCCTATCGCAACTATCTACACATGAGCGGCTGCCCGGGTCATGTGCTTAAGGCACGTGCCCAGGCACTGAAGGCTTCGATCGTTACACAGTATATAGATCTTTCTGACAGGGTAAATGACCTGTATTGTGCTGAACATGGCGTCGTGTTAACATGTTTTTGATCATGCTGAGCAATAATCTAATCTGTTGGTATGACAAAGATCCCTCACAGGGCTTACAATTAGCTTGAAGTCTTTTGTTCAGACAATTAGAAATCAGTTTCAGGTTATGTGGTTGCAATCTGACGTAGAGGTATCGTTAACTATTGCTTAGCCGAAATAACCCGATATAGTCCACTTCAAAAGCCCTTGGGGGCCGACCGCTGCGATGAACCAGCACGAAACCTCTTGATTGCAGAATTGTCATTAGGTCTTATTCCATGTAATTTGACCAAGTTATTGCCAACTTCAAGCGACGATCGAGCGAAACTTACCTGGGTCCGAGTGCAGGAGCTCCCGCTTCATGCTGGTACTACTTTGCTCATGGTTTATCACATGATACGCCGCTCCACCGAGACCATGCTTCCGGAACAACTCTGTCTCATTATCTTCCCACGCGACCATCAAGCCGCCCTCTGAGGGCGTCAAATTTATCTGGTGTGGCATGTACCGGAGTAGACGTGGGATCTGGTGCATATACATCATCTCGATGATTCAAGGGGTCTTAGAGGCTCCAAACACCGAAGAGATGGAAAGGGATAAGAGCTCTTCTACTATGTGGCCGCAAAAGAAGGGTTCGTGCTTTCCGCTTTCTTTTTTCGCCCTGCGAAGAATCCAGTTCCGACACGAGGTTCGCTGATGTATACCGTCAAAGTCCAGCCATCGGTGGTAGATCTTCAGCGTGCTTCACTGGTGATTGTGCACAACATCGGTCCTGCTTTCGTACCCTTTGACATGAATCACTTGAATCCCCTACATCGAATCTAGCAAGGCAAAACATGCTCTCGAGGCCTTCTGCATAATTCTAAATAAGGTGGTGTCTGGGGGACTACAGATCTCGGCATTCTGGAAAAGCTTCGAAAGCTCTTCCGCGGCGCTAGGGATACATGTGGTCGATCGCAGCAGACGCCACGAATTTGTGGCAGTCTTACCGGTCCTTTCCCAACTGACTCTCGTATAATCTTGACGCCCTAACTAGCATTAGCCCGTGACAAGTGATGCAGATATTGGATTCCGACAGACCTGGGCTCCGGCTGTTTCACAATAGAAGAATTCCCTGCCCTCGGACTGGTAGGAGAAGCCACTAATATCAAGAGATATTGCAGCCACTCAATTAATTCTTCAAGTGCAATTAGTACAACAGGAACTTGGCCCATAGAATAGTTACCCGTTAGGTCACGGGTACCAACCTCCTGCTTTGCTACACTGACGCTGGTATATGTGTTCGAGCCCATACTTTGGAAGCAATCTGTTCTGTTCGCCAAAACCTCCCTGTAGATTGGCTAAATGAATAAGGTGAATTTTATTAGCCAGTCTTCCTGATATTAAAACCGGATATCTCTTACGGAAATCTCGGGGACCACGCTATCTCTTCACCTAGCGAAAGATTTGTCATTTTCGCACTACCCCTAAGCGTCCATGAATCCTCTTTCGCAAAACAGGTATCATGTCAATTAGGATACTCAATCCCATGAAGTGCAACAAGTACGAATGTATTCGTTATTTGTGTCGACCCTTAGCAGCATGCTCTCGAGGGTAATACTTTATTGATGGCCATCTTTGTGGCCCTTACAAAGCCTATGAAATTTCAGATATTTAGACCGCTCCTTTGATTTTATGCAATTGATTCTGATGAATGATTAAGGAATATCTAGAAAGTATTCCACATTTTGACCACCGCCACACCCGGCTACTTATTTTACTTTTCTTCTTCTTTTTCCTGGTCGGGCCATTTATTTACGTGGCTCGTAGGCCCTTTCCAACAACTACACTCGTTATGCACTCTTATCGACTATTTTATCATGGTGGTGTAGAAATTACCAGAGGATCGGCCAGTATCTGTGGGGTCTGTCCGATTTCGATTCTCTTGTGTAAGTAGAATGGAATTCAGCAAGGTTTCTCTTTTTTTTGACACGAAGTAGGGATGCGGAGAGAAATTCCTTTGCGATACCAAGCAGTCGCAAGATAATCTAGCACCTTTGGCATCAATCCTTCAGTCTTGGCGCGGCGCAAGTGAGCATATCGTTGAGGTCATCGGATCTCTCTACCCCTATCCAGCTCTTGTCGAACCAGTTCAGGTGCGTCACATACAAACGAGTCAGAAATGAAGGGACCAGAATAGAACTCCAGCATGCATCTGTTGACGTCAGAGCGCCATGCATCTAAACAGAACCAATCACAAATGGATGACCAGCGTAATATACCTCATTAAGGGCTCCGACAGCGCCATGACCAGCGTACCAAGTATGTCCCCCAGGATACAATTGGCAAAGAACATAGGGCAACATTCTAAACGAGTGGGTGCAGCACTCCTAGGGAAACACACCCGGCAGCTGTATGATCAATTATCGTGGAAAGAAACAAGCGTACTGGCCTAACTCCGGACTGATATGGCAAGACTCAACGGATATCTTCATCAAATTAACATCGCCAAGATAGATTAATGTGTATGTGGATAAGTAAGAGAGACTATAGAATACTTTCTCTTTTGATATTAGAAGTAGACTATATACCGGATAGGAATACTATAATATACCTACACTTACTGAGGGGATATCCTTCTTTCTAAATAGAAAGTTACTATTAGATAATCAGAACTAGATACTGAATCTAGAAGTAGTGTGAGCCTTAGTATAGTTTGTAATCACTATAGGCTAACTAGACGTCACTTAGCCATATTAACTAATATAAATGTACCTCCCCCCCTAAACTAACCCCCATCTACTATCTCGTACTAGAGACTATAGACATACTTCAACTACTAAGAATAGGATATTAAACACTTAAAGAAGCGCCTTTGAGCCAGTCTACTAACAAAATTACTATCCCGCGAGGATCCACCGCGATAATGATAGCTGAGATGATATATACAGAAAGTAACCCTGTATGGGCTGCAAGGAGACATTGTATATATTAGGACATGTATTGGTAGAAGAGTGACAGTTGCGCTTTCGGCTTAGCCGCCAGGCGCTAATAAAGTGTGTGTGTGTGTGTGTGTGTGTGTGTGTGTGTATCAAGTCTAGAGAAAAGAAGAAGGAGAAAACAATCTAAATAGAGGTTTTATTAATATCACCTCCAACCCGGTACCTCCTATCGCGATAGATTCCTCCTAGGTATCACCGTATCTTCCATCTCGAGGCCGACCAAGAGGCAGCCTATCGTCACTCAGTTCTGAAACTTGACATCGAATTTGCGACCAGAGTGGTAATTTTCTGGTAGATATTCTGAACCAGAATGATTGGCGTGCCTAGAAAGCCGAGGAAAATGAACCATGTTGGTATACGTTCACGTGAACAGAAGTAGATCATTTGAGCGAGGTGGCTTAGTTAAGGTGTTGGCAGGGACGGGATATTGAGGCGTGAGAGAATGTATAGTTGGAGGATTTATAGATTGAAGGATATCGGAGGAAAATATGAGGGTGAAGAGGATGAGTCCAAAGTTTTTCATGTATGTACTCTGTACTTGTGAGTCTGTTTCGTAGGACAATATCTTTAGGAAGTGAATATTCTGCTGCCTAATGTCTAGATCACGTGATTCAAGTATAGACCTTTGTCAGGAGAGATACGCGGAGTGTATGGCAAAATACCGAAGGACTAGACGAGAACGGCTATATTAGATTAGGTAACTTTCTGTCGGAACAGAAATGTAAGTCCAATCAGGTCCACGGGTAGCTGTCTGAGTTGTTATGCCAGTACCCATACAAACCTGTAACTTTGGGTGTGAAGATGACTAATCTCGGCCAGTCTATAAACAGCAAAGAAAGAAAACAAGATACGACCGCTACATCTTCTATTACTTGTTCTACATTTAATACCACCTCTTAAAATTGCGTAGTCATTGCTGATTGATTTAGTCACTGTAGCTAACCTGGGAAAGATCCAGGAAAAACATATGGCAACGACTTAGTGAAGACTTGATTTTATTTAGAAATGTGATTCTTTCAGCTTCTTTGGCTGTCATCTCAAACGACTATGTAGTATCTGCAGTCAGTGGCTCATGAGAAGAGATAGAAATTACATGCATATGTATTCCCTCTCATACCTAGGAGGGCCTGAATATACTCCCAGTGTTCCGGGTACAAACTGGCATATTCCCAGTCAAGGATAGCCATAACACGGCCTTTAAGTTTGTTAATAAGAATATTCCGTGGAGCAAAATCCGAATAAGTGAAAACGATATCATGGTTTTCCATTGGTGTATATTTCGCGTGATGCCGCAGAATTTCTGGTGCTGATTTAACGATATCTCCTAGGATAAACTCGTTAAATTACTGCTCGGAATCAAATAGGCCGCCTTCGATTGATACAATCTGACCAATTATAGCCCGACCACGATTTATCGCTCCGATATAGTCGCCTTTCAACTTACGAAGTTAATTCATATAAGAATGAAGCTCGTTGGCAATGGATAGCTTCTGGTAAGAGTTTAAAGTATCCCACACTTCATTGAGTCGCTTGCCAGGTATATAGTCAATTACTATGGCTATGATTTTCCCATCTTCATAATGAATATGATAAACTTTTGGTACAAATATTGTAGTTTTCGCTGCGATAAACTGCAGTGTTTGTGCTTCATGGGCACGAAGATAGCCTGGCTTGACAACGAGATTGTTATCATATCGAATAATCGTGTGGCCGCTCAACGAATGAAGAGTTGTTCCTTCTTGATCTTTGAATTGCTCCATTTCTAAACCTAAATATCACTTTTTGTGGTAAGAATATTGGATTGGTTGTGATTAGCCGAGCTGAGCAGTAAAGTACGAGTGTGAGTGAATGGGAAAATCTGGGTTCGCTGTGTAAGGGAAAAAAAGGCGATGATGGCGGGGCCGCATCTTGACCGCTGATGCCAGTGCGCTAACTGAAACGCCAACATAGCAGGGGACTCATCGCAATTGGTCGGCAGAGAGCATGTGATTTTTAGTATCAGGGTCTTCTCAGACTGTTCAGTGTGCATTGGAGGGCGGCGCAACTATAGGTACTTCCTGTCAACAACAATATCTGGAAATCACTGAAATCAAGCAGCCCTAGAACATTCATAACTGTTGTTGTATTTACTAGATTCTAAAATTCTAGCAAGTTTAACAACCATATTTAATACTTACAAGTCAGTCGGTCGGAAATGGTGATTCTGCAACGATAGATAGCCTAAAAACTCTTGTTTTTGACAAGGAAAACTGGAAGGAAAGGTATAATCGCTGCATTTTGAGACAGCTTTTGGCGTATTGTGAAAACAAAATCACCTATAAATCTCATCGGGCTTTCAACTACAGTACGAGCAAAGGAGCTAGAGTATTTGGATCTGGCCAGACAGCGCGTATTTTGACCGTTGAGCACCAAGAGAATTTGAAAATCATTAGCCGAGCAAAATTCAACGGTGTTACATGTAAGCAAAGTTGATGGGACGATTATTATGAATAAAAAAATATAATTCCTGACCGTCAACTGCGCTTGAGCTAGAAAATAGAGCGGGCAAATTTAACCACTTGATATTTTTCACTAGGAGTGTTTTGCTAGAATTTTCATTGAATTATTATCTTTTAAAGTCTAACAATATAAATCAAGGACTACACTAGTACCCGGGGCATAAAAAAAGGAGAAAGGATACTGCACATTGATTCAAAACCAAATATTGGATTTGAATATGCCACCAATATAGCCTTTACACTGTCTAACCGCACATTCGTTGCCGGTGGGTGCTGCGCTTCCATCATCTACCTTTATTCCTCTTTGGTTATAATAGGCTATAATATAGAGTCTGTTGCATGGGGCGTGCAAAGTAGTAACTTTGGTCCGTAGCTACTTACAAGTCAACTTCATTGACAAATATTTTTGGCATAATATGAGGTGGCCGGCTGCTAGGAGATAGATACTGAGTCTGTTACTTATATTGGTGATTTTATCAATTCTGGTCCAGTGGGTATATGGTAGAGTGGTATTATTATTGAGTTATGATACATTGAATTGGGCTATGATACATTGATGGTCGATGGGCATCCGAATTCGCTTACACATTCTGCATGATACCCGGCCTTACAGCTTCCAAGATGGCCGAAACTTCATCCCACAGCTTGAGGCGCGCCTGTCGACCTTCGTCACTGCGCACAAACTGAGAAAATGCCGTGTTTTCAACGTGTCCGTCACTCATATAAGCGCCGTGGCTTTCAAGCCCAGCGCTGATTCCTGCAACTGAGAGTACGCGATCCCACCTCGGTAGACCGGGCGAGAATCAGTTTGAATAGGTAGAACGACAACCCACCCTCGCGTCCCAGGGCTGAATGACAGAGACCAGGGTTGATCATATTGATGATTACCTCTGATCCGCGTACTCTGCCAGCGAGCTCTTGGACCAGTAGTACTTCCAGAAGTTTCGACAGTGGATAGCGCTCGCTCATCTTTGCTGTTGACTGATTGGAGAGAGTCTGCAGAATATTGTCGGACTTCCACTCAGGAAGACCAACCCAGGCGTGGACTTCGCTGACCACGAATGTAAGCCGTGGCTGGCTCTCCGGAATCTTCTTTTTGGTAGCTTTTAGTACTGGAAGGACAAAGAGCGAGAGCAACAGTGTGCTGACGACGTTCACAGTAATGGTGCGTTCGAAACCTTCAGCGACTTCAAAGTTACGAGTCGCGACCGCAGCATTAAGAATAGCCGCATCGAGTCGGGGTAGCTGGGCGATACGATCCCCGAAGGACACAACCGACTTGTAGGAGGCTAGGTCAACTTCCCACACCTCACAGACACGCCGTCCGGTCGAGGTTTCAATATTCTTCTTGGCCTCTTCGCCGGCAGGTACATTGCGCACTGCCAAAATGACACGGGCAGCTCCCAGGCGAACGACATGGCGGGCTGCTTCAAGTCCGAGGCCGACGTTGGCGCCAGTGACGAGCACCGTCTGATCAGCGAAGGACTGCTCAGGGTAGGACGGGCGAACAAAGAATTGGGAGTAGAGAAAACTTGGCATCTTGTCGGATTATCCAAGAGAATGATTGAAACATTGCGCCGTCTGAAATCGGAATGGAACAGGATTTTAAGTAGGTCTTTCAATGGCAGGCAGAAAGTCATGACGAAGCGATGGACCGGAGATTAGACGGCGATAACCGTGCGTTCCCTCTCGGAAGAAGGGCAGCATCCGCTAAACTCCTGGCTACACGGGATCGACAAACGCCGAGAGTCCGAGAATCGCGTATTTTGACGGATGGCACGGAGGGAAAAGGCTGCGAGGAGCGACTGTTGATGAAGAATGAGGTGAAATAGAAATAGGTCGTCAGGGCTGCCAAGCCAAAGAGAGCAAATACAGTCAACGTGCTACTTGATAATAGGGTGAACTCCGCACTTTTTATTGTACTAGTAGTCTTCAAGTTGTTAAGCAATCTCTACAGGGTTTTCCTCGTAGCCAGCGGGCTGCTTGCTTCTGTACTTATCTCGTCATTACCCACATAGTCAAGAGCTGGTTTCGTCCCTCTCACCTCTCCTCTTTATATAGAAAGCTTACCATTGCAATACAACCCACACGCCTCATGGATGCCTCGCAAATAATTATTAATATCAATATTAAAATCAATAACTAATGGTGACATCTCTAAGCGGAGGGGGAGCACAAGCACGAAATATTCCAACGCTAACCCGATCTTCTGCATGATTCTGCCCTGGGCCAACTACTCGATGCACACAGGCACGAGCTTTGGTTCTCCCCAGTAGACGTTGCAACCGAGTCCCTACTAACACTACCACTTCATCTGGAGCGGCAGGAACACGCATAAAAACAGCCTCACGACCTACTCCGTCGCTACCAAGCTCCTCTGTGGATTCAAGGTCCGCGACTTCTAAACCGTCATCCTCGTCATCCTCTCGAATTAATATCGCCAGCGTGCCACCGTCCATATGTGGAGGAGAATAATCGCTATCCCCAGCGATCATCCGTTGAGGGTTATAGTATTGTATGCCTATCGACTCAGAGTCAAGCGTCGGGGTCCCCATCAAGGGTATCTCCGACTCGAGAACGTCACAAAAGACTATGTTGAGCAACTGATCCCGAAAATGCTTCCATTTCTGATTTTCACAAATTAAGCTCGAGCTTTTGTTGTTCTGAGGAGGTGAATGGAGGTCCTTACATCGTGTATTGCTATGACCGAGCGAGAAAACTCGGCTGGGGGAGAGATACAACCATCTCGCTGGTCGTTCTTTCGAAAGAAATTGATACCTTCTTTCGGTATTGGTGTAGTCCCACGAACGAGTTCCGTACCAAAGCCTGAGTATCCTCTTGTTCGTTGTTTTATTTCATTTGAGAGCTGGAAAAAGCCTCGGGCCTTGGAAATGTTAAAATGAACTGAGCCAAAAGTAAAGGTAGACATTAGGAAATTGAAACCAACCTCACGCAATAGGCCTCCATCAACCGCCTGCTTCAGTTCGGGGGAACATAAGCGAAAGGCACCGTATTTAAGTAGCGCTTGTCGCAACTTGGCAAGGGTTGCGGGGCTCTGCTCTGTCGAAAGGTCAATGATAGGGAGAGGGCCCATGGTGAATATGGTTGGTAAGAGTACAGAGAGAAGGGAAGTAGTGGATATAAAGCAAAGCGGGGTAGAATAGTTTAGTTCATTAGGCTTACAATAGCTGCAGCTGATAACCTGATCGATGCCTTCTTAGCAAAACAGCTAACAGCCAATATTGCAGTGTGTGCTTTGTATGATAATCAGCTTGGGGAACATCGATGGCTTTTACGACTGTCTGAAAAGCATTTGGGACTATGCATCGGAAGCCAAGCCCTGCATCGAGATGTTTTTTGCAAGCGAAAAGTGCAGGAAGTACTATCACGGGCAACCTCTTTCCCCTGATAGATCGCTTTGAGGGTAAAGGTTTATGCCAACAGATAGATCATGGACGCTGCCGTCAAGTTGGAGGACGCGCCTTGCTTTTGCCATTTGGAGAATTTCCTGCGATATAGACCCATGCACTTCTCAGATAGAACAGTCACAGACGCCCTGAAATCGGGACATGGCGAATGATTGGGGCTTATACTGAGTCAGACAGAGGAAATTAAAAACACTCAAAGGACCACTGATGTGGCAGTTGAGCATGAGAATTCCATTGGCTTGAAACCTTTGAAGCGGCATGCCGATTCTGAGGAACTAAATAAACGACAAGTAAATGGTTATCTTCTGAATTGGGAGTCGTCATTATTTCTTGAGCGGTTTTCTTCTTAATAGACATTTAGATTGAGCACCGAAGTTATGACAGGAATAACTTCATATTTTCATAAACTAAGAAAGTCACCCACGTACTCGGCAGCACACGAAACAAATTCGGACCGAGCCCCTTATAGAAGCCCGCAAGTCCCTCCTTCGCCCAAATCTGCCTCATAGCATCCGTCGTACCACGATACAACAAGTGAGCCTCATATGTTTGTAATCGGGATCTGACAACCTGATACGGATACGTGACACAACCAGCAAAGACCTTAGACAGACCAGAGAGCACGAAGAAATCTAGATTTCCAAGTCGGGTTCCAGTCGCAAGGCCCGCCTTGTCACTGTCACCCATGCCCACGGTATCATCATGGCGCATCGAGTTCGACCGAAGAATTTTAAGTCGTTCATATGCCATAAATTGAAGAGCACCATGACTAACGCCAAATAGAGCCGGGACAAGACCGCGATAAAACCCCTTTACACCTTCGGTTGCATAGATCTGCTTTATCCCGGATGATAGGGAAGTATACGCGCCCGGAGCTTGTGAGCCGGTGGAGAGCATTCGGGTCTTGATTACCCAAATTGGGTTTGTGAGAGCCGATGTGATAATTCCTGGGTTGGGTTCGAGATCAGACCTATTCACAGAATAGTTCACGCCTTTATGAGCGGGCGGGGCTCCGAAAACGTTGAAAACATACCTGCGATTCCTGATGTCAGAAAGTAATCCGAGGATGTCAGTGGTCCTAGACCTGCATCTCCATCTCGTGCCCGGTATCTACCAGCGATATCCTTCAAGCTGCCGTAACACAGGAAATAAAGGGCCCAGCCAGTCGAGTTTCCGACTAGATTCGGACCCAATCCTCTGTAAAAAGCTGCGAGGCCACCTTCATGACGGGCAATTTGACGGATGATACGTAACGAGCTGCCGAGGCGCGAGGAGGAAGATCGATCGACTAGACACACACAGAGAATGTTAGACCAGGACTATCAAATGGGGGATTTGGAGACATACCTTGAAGTCTGATCTTGACCAAGTCGAGCGGATGGAGGGAGACTGTCGAAGCTATACCTGCTGTGAATCCTGCTACGGTCTCCACAACAGATGAAGAGAGGCCATTCTGACCAGTCATGAAAGTCCCCCAACCGAAGCGCGTCGGAAGTTAGAAAAAGCGAGTTTGGTGTCGTTGGGTTATGATGGTGTTGCGGAGTGGGTTCGTTTTGCCAGGCGGTCCGGGAGATGACGGAGACGGGGCGTCGCGGCCAACCTTAGGGAACTAGGCGCGTTCAAATCTTCGAGCAATCGCGTGGGAATTGGGGTTGCCTCATCTTCTGAAGGATACAGAGAGTGGAGGAGAAACTCATTGCGCACAGTTTACAATATACGGGGTAAAGATCAATTGTGGTATACGGACTGGCAGAGAGCGATCATGAGAGCAGCCAATTGCAAGCACGTGCAATGACAGGTAGATGATTATGTCGAAGTCGATTGATTTAAAAATACAAATGGTCGGGTTATAATTTCATAGCATAGCCCAGCCTCACAGTGCTCAGATATCGTGGTGTCCAAAAAGATCCCATCTCCAGAGAAGAATCTGATCGGGTAAGACCCATCGGGGGGGACCCATTTTCCCAAGGTACACTGGCATCTCTCCCATATCTAGTCCATCGTCCTGAAGGCGTGTCTTTCGAATTTAAGCGAGAGGAGAGAAAAGCCTAATCATGATGTTAGATCTCACAAGGTGACTTGCCGAATTGCGGGAGAGGGAGAAGGTTCGAGGCTAGCTCGCGTAGGATCGGATCGAACATACTTGAACAGAGAAGGCTTGGGCTCGCTGTATGAATAGCCTGTTGATTTCATGTTAGTCACCTTGAACTTATGGGAGAGGCAAGTGGTTGGGGTTCGATCAAACATACCAAGGTAGATAATGAGAGGCAGATAGCCGCTGGCAGGTCGCAGTATGTTAGCCTGGTTATGGAACAAGCAGAATATTATATCGGTGCTAGCATAGAGCTCACTAGTGAATGGCGACGCGGGAAATATCAATGACCTTGGAAACACGTTCCTAATGGCGAAAAGAAGTCATAATTAGTCTTCATGCACAGGTCTTCACAGAATCGATTAAGTGGCTAACCTTGGTCTCCTCAGAAAGCTGAACCATTTTGATGGATGTGTGAGTGTGGATGAAGGAGGGAAAAGTGTGGGCGAATAGAAGCTGTTGGTAGGAAGTTGAGTTGGTAGATGGAGAAGAGGACGTCGCGGGAGCGGAAGGTGGCTCAAATCAAAAGTTTTTCGGCAGTCGGAAAACCCCATGATCATCCAAGCTCCAGCTTCTAACCCATCCTTACCCTCCCCCAATCCCAACCAGACGCGTTCCTCCCAACCACAAGCCAATAACTGCAAATCTTGACGACTCGCGACCAGTTCGATTTTATCTCAAAGATTGTCGCAGTTTTTTCGATTGACCTGCCGCCGTGATGTCCGGCGCAAGGCATTGGTACGAAGCCAAAATGCTCCTCCCTCCCCTTCTGATCGGAGACCAGCCAAGGCAGAATAGAACTGACGATTTTACAGGGAACAAGATAAGGAGGCGACGGTATATATTGGTAATTTGGACGAACGCGCTTCAGACAGCCTGGTATGGGAGCTCATGCTCCAGGCTGGGCGCATCGTGAATGTCCACCTTCCAAAAGACCGAGTGACGCAGACGCATCAAGGATATGGATTCGTGGAGTTTATTAGCGAGGAAGATGCCGAATATGCCTCGAGAGTCATGAATGGAATTCGCCTCTTTGGCAAACCAATCCGCGTGAACAAGGCATCTGCAGACAAACAGAAGTCCGTGGAAATCGGGGCAGAACTCTTCGTTGGAAACCTAGACCCAATGGTTTCTGAGCAAATGCTTTATGACACCTTCGGTCGTTTCGGCAACTTGGTTAACCTACCCAAGGTGAGAATCCCTCTCTTCACGCAGTCATGTGACACTATGAATCTCGAACTAATCGCTTTCCTTTTTTTCTAGGTTGCCCGCGACGACAACAACCTCTCCAAGGGTTACGGATTCGTTTCCTTCGCCGACTTTGAATCCTCCGATTCCGCCATCGCCAACATGAATGGCCAGATCCTGATGAACAAGCAAGTGTCCGTTCAATACGCCTACAAGAAGGACGGCAAGGGCGAGCGACACGGTGATGAAGCCGAGCGAATGTTAGCGACACAGGCTCGGAAACACAACGTCCAGCAACCGACGCAGCAAATCGTCGTTCCCCCAGCCGGAGGACCCCCAGGAATGCCAAATGGCGACAGCTCACGGCCCATGAGCACTGGCCCGCCCCAGACTCCTGATATGGGAGTGGGGAGAGGTATGCCTCCGATGGGCTATCAGAATGTGCCTCCTCCTCCGCAAATGCGAGCCGCACCTCCGCCTGGTGCTCCTGCTCCCTCTCTCGCTGCCCCGCCGCCGGGCTTGGGCTTGCCGGCTCGACCACCTCCGTCTCAAGCGGGCTATGGTGGTCCCCAGGCGTACGGGGCACCAGGGTATAATGCCGCGCCGCAGCAACCACCGCCAGGCTTCGCGCCCCCTGGGTTTGGTCCACCAACTGGTGCGGGCGGTGCACCCCCTCCGTTACCCCCTGGCTTCCAGCAAGCTGGATATGGAAACGGGCGATGAGCATGTTTTTTTTCCGAAAAGAATTTCCAACTCTGAACTCTTTCGTCACTCTCGATACCCTAATTGGAATTATTTTTGTGATGGGCCGGACCTGCGTCAATACATGAACAAGAACGGCACCCAACCTGATCTCTTTTCAATGTCATTCGCACCCTTACCTTCAGGATAGGGGGCGCAACCCGGCAGAGACAAGGGGACTACGACTATGTCTGTCACTAGATTTCTGACTGACAGTATGTGATATGATGGCCTTGTAAAATCCTGTCCGGGTTCGCTATTAAGCCTTGATAAAAATCCAGGATGAGGCATACTTGTATTTCCTAGACAAACTACAGCTTCAGTTGAAGTCTCAAGCCAACTTTAATGAACCAAAAGAATTACGATACTATGGTGCGTGTAGGAGAAACCGTATCTGATTGCGGGGTTCAAAACATAATGTCTCTACAGAGTGAATACGCATGACTTCCAAGGAACTATGTAGCATGCTAACAGGTAATAACCCAAGAATGGAAAGAGAAAGAGACATGGGAAGATTACTAGTAAACTGTCAGAAACAGCACATATCTAGGAGCGGACTCAAAAAGAAATGATAATCATAATAATAACGAGAGTAACATGTCCCAAGAGGACAAAAGGGAGAAAGAAGCTCCGCAAAAAGAAGAAAGGGAAAGAAGATGAAAAAGATGCAATGTGCAGCGTAGTGTAAGCATTGCTTCATTGCATCAAGAAAACGAAACAAACTTCGGATCCCTCGGCCGCCCATCCGGCCCAATATTATTCTTCGCAAATCGCTGCTCGGTATAAATGCGTCTTGCTTCGTCAAAGTTGACTCTTCTGTTCTTCATGATCTTTCTAATTTCCGCCTTGGCTCTTTCGTCCAGGCCACCCCGGGTATCTCCATCGGCGATATTGGCCGCGATATCGAACTGCGATGAGCTCAGGCCGTTTTCCAGATCAGACGTGAAACTCGAGGGCAGGCGGTGGTAGATGTGATCAGGGATCGGTAACAATGGTAGCCATCGCGATCGGGTGAGATACAGTGCTAGAATGTTTTAGTTAGTGATCGGGATATTTCAGATCAGATCAGATCAGGTCCGGTTCCGGGAAATCCGGGGAAGGGCGGACAATCTCCCACTTACCTGTCCCTGATAAGATGACGAAGAGCACCAGAGTGTAGAAGAAGAAGTAAGTCATTCTGGACACGATTCTCCCGATGCGCCTCAGTATACGAGGGCCAAATTTGTGCCCAAAGGGGTGAGGGGTGGTGAGAAGAGCTGCCTAGAGGACGTCAAAAGACGCGCCTTGCGATAACTAGCCTATGGGTACACTAGCCACATCAGATGACGATAGATTTAAAGCCTGACGGGTCAGGCCTTCAATCTGTTCCTAAAGCGGCCTGCTTAGCGAGAGTTCAGCGCATCGCACACTTCGACGGCTCAAGCCCATCATAGTTCGATCTTGATCCCTTCTTTAATCCATTCGATTCCAGCATACCGTCATAATGTCCGCCGTCACAAACGTCTCCAACGAGCTGGTCTGGCAGATCACCCGTACGCTCCCGATTTCCATGATTTTGAATTTTGCCTAGGAGGAGAAGGCAGTCAAGATAGAATTGCATTCGACTGACATGGCCATCTTTGAATTACTGCAGGTAACCAGAACTCTTATCTGGTTCGCCGTAACACCGGTGGTGGTTCCCAGTTCTCCCGCGACCCCCTGAACCTGGTCAACAAGCACTCTTTCAAGGTATGGACCACATGATGAATCCGATTCCCCGCAGAAAGGAAAGCAAGCAGATTGGGGAGAGCTTGGATAATTATATCATATTTCAACATGGACCTGGACATGAACATGGGCTAATGATTCGATTGGAAACTTTAGTACTCCGGCTTCGCCAACACCAAGGTACATACCATATCGATACTCTCGCAGCACAACCATCTCGAATGATATACTAACTCGAATCCCGCATCCAGGCTATCGGTGTCCAGGCTACCGAGAATGGCGGCGTTGCTGTGACCACCAAGAAGGCTTCCAACCCCAACAAGCCCGCTCAGAACCAGGTTACCGTCAACTACGGCCCTAACGCCGGCAACCGCAAGTAAGGCTGATCGAACACCCCCAATTGGCATGTGATATGTCATAGCACGATTTGTTGCGAGCTATGCCATACTTGCCACGTCGTGCGCGAAAGAAAAAGCGATGCTGACCTCGGACCTTTTCTCTACAGGATCTACAAGGGTGTTGCCTCCAAGACCGCCCAGAACGGTTACCGTGCTGACCTCCGCGAGGAGGCCGTTGCCCGTGTCTCTGCCGTCCGCCGCTCCCAGAAGGCTAAGAAGGAGACCACTCCCCGCAAGCCCCGCGGCTCCAAGGCCGTCCAGGCTGCTGAGAAGGCCGAGTAAATTCGTCTCCAACCAAATAAGTGACGAATCAGCGAAGGCTTTGAGAAGGGAAGGAAAAATGAACGTGGTGGATTTGATTACATGACAGTGAAAGATGAAACCACGAGCTGGATAAGGGCACAGGCCTCCGTGTAATCTAGCGACAGTGACACTTCTCCCGGAGGCTGGAAGGGAGGGATCACGAACCTTTGCCCCCGACCTTTTGAAATATAGAGAGGGGAAAGGGAGAGGAGTATTTTCAAATCAAAAAGAAACCTCTACATTCACACAACAACATCAAGCATTCCATGCGTGGGATCCGGCAAAGTAATCATCCTCTCTTTTGATGGATCTAAGACTTACATTTACGTTCAACCTGGATATCAGCCGATGATCGGGCCGAGATCACGGGTAGCCAGGCAGAGCCTCGGCCACAGCAGAGTGGGACCCAAGTACAATGGTAGTTCAGTAAGGCAGAGGTAAGTAATAAACACAAGGTCCAGTAGGTATGATGACATCTGGTTTGCCGTGGGAACTGCAGAGGTCCCGCCTTTTCCCGGATGACGGAGCCCAAGTCGGGGAATCACAAGGGTAGCACGAGAACGGTCGGAACGGCGGCAATTTCCTAGGAGTATGGGGAGGTGATACGGGGAATGTTTTCCACTGGCTCGGCAATTGACAATTGGCAATTGGCAGTAGGCAATAGGTACAAAAAGTAGGGACTCTGTACCTCAGTTGGGTGGGTATATGGAGATGTACCACAATGTACACAATAGGTACATATACAAGTACTAGAGTACTGAGTCAAGGGGAATAGAAACGGAAGAACTAAACTAGAAAGGCCGCGAAAACAGACGCATAAGGCGGTCCGGTGTAGCTTTTGAACAAGGACCCCCGATCCACTTAACGAACCAAATCACAAGTCGCAAGTCCCAACTGGTCCCAAATTGGTCTGGGTGTAACTCCGGGGTTGCCCCTCTTATGCCCCTCTCTGCGTTCCCCTCGTGCCTTTATATTTGCTCACTTCCCCCCCCAACATCTTCCCCCATCCATCTACTCTCCCTCTACCCCACATCCCATCTAATAATCCATCATCATGGTTAAGGCTGGTAAGTTCTATCATCTTGAATCGAATTGAACCCTTCCCCCATCTCTAACATATACTCTTTCCTTAGTTGTTCTCGGAGCCTCTGGCGGCATTGGCCAGGTCAGCTATCCACCCTCCATTCTAGAGCTCTCAATTCCCTCCAATCAAAGCTAATACTATTGAAGCCTCTCTCCCTCCTCCTGAAGGCTTGCCCCCTCGTCGATGAGCTTGCTCTGTACGATGTTGTGAACACCCCCGGTGTCACTGCCGATCTCTCTCACATCTCCTCCGTTGCCGTACGTTGCCTTTTGCCCTTTAGCTCTACCCGGACAACCATGTTAACACCTATATAGAAAATCACCGGCTACCTCCCCAAGGACGATGGCCTCAAGCACGCCCTGACCGGCGCTGACGTTGTTGTCATCCCCGCCGGTATTCCCCGTGAGTGATTTCCCGCATACCCCGCGACCTAAGAGTCAAATCGCCTAGATCTGCTTTACATTTACTAACCTACCCTGTCCACATATAGGCAAGCCCGGTATGACCCGTGACGACCTCTTCAAGATCAACGCCGGAATTGTCCGCGATCTCGTCAAGGGTATCGCCGAGTTCAGCCCCAAGGCCTTCACCCTGGTCATCTCCAACCCCGTCAACTCCACCGTCCCCATTGCCGCCGAGGTCCTCAAGGCCGCCGGTGTCTTCGACCCCAAGCGCCTGTTCGGTGTTACCACTCTGGACGTTGTCCGTGCTGAGACCTTCACCCAGGAGTTCTCCAAGCTCAAGAACCCCTCCGAGGCCACCGTCCCCGTTATCGGTGGACACTCCAGGCGAGACCATTGTTCCTCTGTTCAGCAAGGTCGCCCCCGGCTTCCAGATCCCCGCTGACCGCTACGAGGCCCTGATCAAGCGTGTCCAATTCGGTGGTGACGAGGTTGTTCAGGCTAAGGACGGTGCTGGTTCCGCTACTCTTTCCATGGCTTTCGCTGGTTTCCGGTACGTCTACTCTTTCTTTTCCACAAACAACCCGAACCAACTGACTCTGACAACTGGATAGCTTCGCCGAGGCCGTTATCAAGGCCGCCAAGGGCGAGAAGGGCATCGTTGAGCCTACTTTCGTCTACCTGCCCGGTGTTGAGGGTGGTGCTGAGATCGCCAAGGCCACCGGTGTCGACTTCTTCTCTACTCCCGTCGAGCTCGGCGTAAGTGACCCTCCATAGACTCGAACCCCAATAACCAACAAGCCGCTAATGCAATATATAGCCCAACGGTGCCGAGAAGGCCATCAACATCCTCGGTGGCATCACCGAGCAGGAGAAGAAGCTCCTGGAGGCTTGCGTCACTGGTCTTAAGGGCAACATCGAGAAGGGTGTTGAGTTCGTCAAGAACCCTCCCCCAAAGTAATACTCCCTTCAACCCTCCCTCCCTCCTCACCCCGAATCTATCCCCATTACGCATCGAGTATTTGGCTAGATTGAAATGCTTTGTGACGTGTATTCCTTTCCTCGACTGGTCCACACCTCCAAGTTCCCAACCCCCCAAAAGTCTCAGATCTTTGCTAACCATTGTGGCTCCCGAAGATAGGCTCTAAGCGTGACATCATGAGGTTATGAAACGATCAAAGAGAAGAAATAACAGGGGACCTAGCATGGCTCGCCCTGGTTAGTGTTTTATGGGTATTCAAAGAAAGCGGCTATTATGCATGCAAAGCAAAGATATTAAGATATTCTCCCTCCCAATACTGTACACCCTCGTAATCTTCTCTCCTTCCCGTAGTAGAGCCCAGCCCGGCAATAGATAGGGCCTCTCAATCTCATTCTCATGTCTCATGTACAAGGAAGGCCCTAAATCGAATCGAATCCAATCTAGGAAAGGAGAGTTTTCGCAGGGGCAGCGTGAAATGCACCTCGCCATTCCAGTCCAGCTGAAAGCGGGCCGTTTCTTTGCCGGGTTGCAAATGTCCATTATATGATTCCGTCCAGTCCAGGTCAGCCTGGAACTGGAAGGGGGGGGGGCGTTGGTATGGGCGTTACTGAAATTGCAAAGCAGCCTCAAGGCCTCGCCTGAACCGTCTTAATCTGAAACGTAGCCCCAGGCAATTCAGAAGTCTCCGCTTGCACAGTAGTATTGATTCCGAGATTGGCCAATGCGCCTCGAATGACTCCGCAGGGGAACCAGAGATACTAGCGACGGAAAACATTAGTTTGGAATCGAATCGAATCGATGGAGGAGGAGACAACTCCGTCAACATACCGCCTGAGCCATTGAAACCGCATCACCGCGCGCAGCCATACTCATTCTCGCAAAGGGTCGGAATGCACTATCCGTCAAGACGTATACGCCCTGTACCAAAAAGAATATTAGCCACGCCCTTTCTTACTGTCTCCGATAGAGGAGTGGAGGAGTATTTCTCTATTTATATCGGGAAAGCAAGCTGGGCTCTAGCTCTGGTGCAACGTACTCGGTGGTTCGTTTTCAAATTATCAATCTGCTTTCTGAACAGAACGGTCCATAAATCCTTGCACAGGAATTTGATGACATCGAGGTTATCCGTGAATCGGGGCCGATCTCGCGAGAACCTGTTCACAAGGGAAGGGGGTCATTAGCCGCTCGTGTCTTTTATCAACTCGCCCAAGAGCATCGGAGCGGAATGGGATATCCCCCACCCCCGCGCAGGAAGCTGGGCACTCTCTCACCTCTCTGCCAAACCCTGCCCAACACGATAGCCCAAAGCATCCAGGCGGAAATAAGTTGCTTCTCTAACCTCCTCGTCTTCTGGTTCGGCCTCTTCTGTTGATGTCGACAGTTGTTTTGCTAGGCGTTCGGCCATGGGTACCAATTCTATAAGGAGGAAGTCGAAACATGAGGAGCTGAGCGCGCGCGCATTTGGATCGGAGATCGTTAATGAGGCGGAGGCGTCGAATGACATGGTGGGCGGCTGTGTGATTTGGGTGAGAGGGGGTGTTGGGTTGGTTTTGGGGAAGTTCCAAGGTTGTTCTGCCAAGCTACGGGGTCGGCGGACAAGGAACGGGAACTGTGTTGTGCCCGCACTGCCGCCTCAGGCATATCTAGCTGCGGCCACTATACGTAGTACCAATGGGGCCGTACATGATCCTATTCGAATCTATAAATATATACCGGGAACCATAAAATATGCATAACCAAAGCTACACAAGAAACGAGGTGGGAGCGAAATTTTTTTAATTAAGAACCAATCATTGTTCGCCGCAGCTAACTAATCCGAATGCAAGCCAACCCAGAGAGACCATACCCACGCCAGGAACACCACAGCAAGATGCATGAGTTGAGGGGAAGAAAAGAAAAAAAAAGCTTTGCGAGACATGAGAAAGAAACCCCTAATCCCAGGCCTGATAGCCCCGACATCCAATAATACTAATATTGCGGTGGATAGGACCTAGGCTGATCTGGAGGCGGTAGTCCTCTCACGGCGAAATTCAAAGCTGGTCGTTTAATAGGGGGCATGGGAGACTCGTCATCTTCATCATCGCTTGCTGTCAAGTCAATAATAGCAGAAGCAGGACGCTTTTTACTCGATTGACGAATCGCAGAAGACGGCGTCGACGTTTCTCTGGATTGAGACTGCGCGGGCGTTCGCTCCAACAGAATCGTCGAGGAGGATATGGGTTCCTGCTTAACAGTAGGTGTGGGGAAGCCGGGCTGGCTGATTTCGATCAAGTCATCATCGTCGTCGTCTGATGCTGGTGTCGCCCCGCCCGGGTTAGTGATATCTGAGTCGGTCGGGTTGGTCCAGTCTCCACTTGGCTCAACGACAACCTGATCCACATCTGTAGAGGTTGATTGTAAGATTTCATCGACATACCTACAGGGCGTTCGTTAGTTAAACAATGCCATGAAAACAAAAGTAAAAGACTGTAGTGGCACTTACTGGTCGACCTGGAGGGATTCGAAGCTTGTGGACTTGGAGCAAACTGGGCATGTCCATGTCGGGGCTTGTTTCTGCAACTCTAAGAACGACGATGCATCAAAGCACTGGTTGTGCGTGCAGACAATCGATCGACAAGGGACTTGGATCCGGAGAGTCGATAATGGGCATTTCAATGACATGACGCTGGACGTTGCAACGATGTCTGAATCCTGGGCACGGTTTTTCACTAGAAGGGGATTATTGTCAGGAAACTTTCGGAAATACCTTTCAAGGGGACAAAGCGGATACTTACTTTCTCGAATAACCTGTTCCTTAGAGATGAGCTTTCGCGTTTGCAGTTGGCTGACAAGCTCATCAACAGGATGTAACTGGACGAGATTGATGAGCGCGAAGAATTTCTGTCGGGGTCATATGTATCAGTATCATGTCAATTTGCAGGTAGACGCAACAGAAATCTACCTTTTGCGTCAATGCGTAAGTCATAACAATATTGTTTGTATAATTCGGTTTCTTGCGAATGTAATTCGTGACATCTGCCGGCTGAGTCGTTCCAGGTCTATTCTTCAACCCTCGAAGATTTGCCTTGACTTCATCCAGGTTCGCCTTCAGCTCCACTTGGTGTGGAAATGCGATATCGGACTTGGTATATGACTTCAGCCCTGAGTCGGCTGCACAGTAGACCATCACTCGGAGAGTTGGATCTGCCTGCAGATCTGATGCGGTAGATGTGGAGAGCATGACTTTCAGCTCTACGCTATCTCTTGTTTGTTCGCGGACTGCCGGGGCCTGAATTAGATATGCCACCCAGACAGAAAACGAAAGAACAAGGAGACAAATAAATACCTTTGCATTCCACCACCGGTGTAAGATTTGTTATAATGGTGAAGAAAGGGCTCTCCTTGAACATAATTTGGCCTGGCGGCCTGTCAGCAATAGCGCAAGTGCAATAGACGCATCGATCAATCGGTTGGACTCACCGTGTGGCGGGGCGCTCGGGGTCATCGAGGCGCTGGGAGGTGCAGCTCGTGAGTGGGGTGGTGTTGGTTGTGAAGGAAGCGAGGGTTGGAAGTTGTTATTTGACTGAAATGACATAGCCCCGGGTATTGCCGATTGATAAACACGGCGCTTGAGCGCATCGTATCGCGCGCCGTTCCCTTCTGAAGTGGCAAGTCGTTCGAGATCTGATTGAGCAAAGAGTCAGAATTTGCTAAATGGAGGGAAGTATGACCGGGATTGACCGAGTGAAGAGTGGCATAGACAAGGGAGGTTGAAGCGTGAAGCGCGGAAGGTTTGATGCAGAGAGAGAGAGAGAGAGAGAGGGAGAGAGGGGGGGGTGGAGGGGAGAGGCGGGAGACAGACAGTCAATAATTCGGATCTGTAGCGATGCTTTCACGCCAGATACGGCAAGACCTTCATTTCGCAAAAGATCTTTCAATTGCGGGTTGGTGAGGGTCTTGATCAGCGCTACCAGATGTGGCACCTCCGTCGACGATTGCGAGGACGCCATGGTGGAAATACTGCGGGACGGGGATATAGTCAAGCGGAATGCAATGCGACCAGGTCAGCAATCAAAGATTTGCGCAGATACATCTCAATCTTTTCTCATCGAGATATTGTTTCGTCCCCTAAGAACACCAAACGCAGGACTTGGGGAAGAGTGAGCGAACTGCAAGAGGTGAGGTTGGATGACTAAAGACGGAAAGTGGCTATCGCGATAAAAAAATTGCGATAAAAAAAACTACTGCGGTTCCCCGATTTGACTTTCACGGCCACATCCCTCCACTTGTTCACCCTCTTTCCCCTTCATATCTCTCCCATATAACCGATATCATGGCTAAGAGTGTGCGCGCCAGTGTCTCCAAGCGCAATCGCGCCAACCTTCGCAAGACCTTCTTTGGTCCCGTCAACGATGCCAGGACTGAACGTCTCGCCGCCAAACTACAAGAGCTTGCCGACCAACCCCGCCCAGAGAAGAAGGAAATGGAAGTGGAATCTGCCGAGACCGGTAAGTTTGTGACTACTCCATGTCGAGGCTTTCATTCCTATCTCTTGCCCCCAACCCCCGCTAAACTTTGTCCCGCGCAGAACAAGATGCTGGCAAGACAGCTGCGACTAGCGAAGGTATGCTAGCCCCGTTTCCCCCACGCTACATGATATTATGTATATGAAATTCTGACTGGCTCTATAGACATGGACGTCGATACCAAGCCCTCCTCCTCAACTCGATCTCACAAGAACGAGCGCGTGCAAAAGCAGCGCAATCGCAAACCCCGCAACTCCATGGTGTTTAAGCCCAAGGTCTCTGGCAAGGACAAGAAGGGCTCAAAGAGAAAGTGATTACTCGAAGTGATGATTGGACATACAAAAGAATAAAAAGCAAGTGAACGAGACGAGTTTGCTGCGGCTGAAGAAGAATCCATGGCGTTGGGAGTCTCCCGAGGGTACGGGCTTGTGTTTTTTTCTTGCCTCCCCATATTTTAACATCTCTATCTTCCATATTTGATAGATGTGAACTGTTTCACCTTGACCATATATAGACCTCCAATTACTCCGTATATTACTACATTCTTCCTATTCTCAGGCTGTTGTCAAATATGTAAATCGCCGCATACATGGAGAAGGCGGTGTGATCCCTTGCGGGCCATCGTAAACATCGGCATCGGCAAGGCAGTCTATCATGATCGTCATTCGTTAAACCGTGCTGCTCACTTCTCTCAAGCTTATTCCAGGCGCTGCAGCAAGGCCAGAGAGGATTCTATACAATGGTCTTTCTACACTCTGGTTGGGCTGTTGTACTTGCCAATATCCTGGTACCACTGGGTATTCTCGTATTCTCATCTGGCTTCTTCCCCTATAAACCGCTACTACCTGGTCTGGCCACTTTTGACGAGATTGACCAAAATGCTACACCGGCAATCTTTAATAAGGTCATTTTTATGGTTGTCGATGCACTCCGCAGGTATGAGATCAAATCAAACAGAACTCGACCCGCATTCATTCTGCGGCATCCACCAAACATCCAACTAAAACCGTCTCTAGCGATTTTGTCTATTCCTATGAATCTGGTTTCTCATTCACGCAAAGGTTTGCTTTATTTCCTTCTATTTGATAACATAACAAAAACATTGTGATGAGTTATAGGACATCTGTTAACCATCTATTAGCTTAATCCGAGCAGGGGCTGCCTTGCCTTTCACTGCCCATGCTAGCTCGCCAACTGTCACAATGCCTCGATTGAAGGCGATGACCACGGGCTCAGTGCCCTCATTTCTAGATGTGATCCTCAACATCGCCGAGTCAGACACCGGCTCAAGTCTTGCGTACCAGGACACATGGCTGGCGCAATTGAGAGCTAGGGGAGATAGCCTTGTCATGTACGGTGATGATACGTGGCTCAAGCTGTTCCCAGGGATGTTTGACCGCGCAGATGGAACCACAAGCTTCTTTGTGTCGGTCAGTGCTACCCGAGAAATCTTCAAAACAAGCCGTGATCTTGAATTCAATCTAAACATTCACGACATAGGACTTTACCGAAGTGGACAATAACGTGACTCGCCATGTTCCCGAGGAGTTAGCCCAAAGCGACTGGTCAGCAATGATCATGCATTATCTGGGCCTCGACCATATCGGACATAAAGCAGGTCCCAAGAGGTATTTCCATTCCCTGCTAGAGCTAAATCTATCCAAGCCATTCTCTGGCCGTCTCTGACTCTTGACTAGCCCTTTTATGCTGTCCAAACAACAGGAAATGGATACCATTGTGGACAACATCTATACCGCTATTCAACGCGAGTCTCACCTGGAGTCAACTCTATTTGTTCTATGCGGTGATCACGGCATGAATGAAGCAGGGAATCACGGCGGTTCATCTGCCGGCGAAACATCACCAGCGCTACTCTTCATTTCGCCCAAGTTTGAAATCATGGGCGCTCGGTTGGAAAGTCCCATCGAAACGCCCGACGATCTTCGATTTTATCAAACTGTTCAGCAGTCAGATATCACCACGACATTGGCGGGTCTGTTGGGATTACCAATTCCTTTGAATAGCCTGGGAGTTTTCATTCCTGGTCTTCTGGATATGTGGGAGTCTGGTAAGGCACTCGATCAAATTGAATCAACTCGGCTGAAGATGACGGCCCTACTGGTGGAGAAAGTCTGAACTAATAATGCAAAACACAGGATCTCAGAAACTTCAACTTCTATCTCGAAATGCCCGGCAGTTACTGAAAGTCGCCCAGTCTACATTTCCCAGCGCCACTTTTGACACCGAAGCCTTTTCAGACTGTAATCCGGACAACCTTTCCGGCATTGATGAAATTCAATGCACATGGTCGCAAGCCCACAAGCTTCTTTCCAATCAACAGTTTTCAGATTCTGAAGAAGCATATCCCGCTATTGAACAAGCCTTACTGCGGTTCTCGCGGGCCACGCAGGAGGTGATGAGTAGTACCGCTAGCAACTATGACATGTCCCGACTTGTTGGTGGACTGCTAATCCTAGCGCTTGCAACCTCACTACTTTTGCCTCGAATTTACCATGAATTCTCTCAGACCGTTTCTACTGGTATCTTCTTGGTGTTTATGGTTGTTGGATACGGAAGCATGATGTTTGCGAGCAGCTATGTTGAAGAAGAGCAACAGTTCTGGTATTGGATATGCTCGGGCTGGATGTTCTACCTGCATATGCGATCGGAATCTCCGCAGAACTCATCGCGCAGGAAGGCCGGATCATCTCCCTTCCGCTTGATCAAACTGGCGACATTGGGGCTAATTGCTTCACATCGGGTACTTCGGAGATGGAATCAAACGGGGCAGAAGTTCACGGCCGAACCGGACATCGCTCGAGACTTCTTTCCTGCCCATCTGGTCGCTCTATGGGGACTGGTGATATTGACATACGTGGACTCTGGCTATCATTTGCTGGCAAATATGCCAGCCTCTGCACCGGCAAAACTGATGGCTTTGATCACACCCGCACTGGGCTTCATGTTCAAACTTAATTTTGCGGCGAACGATTCGCCCGAGCTTCTCGCAAATACCCCCCCTGTCGAAACTTGCCGGAAGCTGGCTCGGTAGCCTGTCTTTGGTTTTGCAGGCAAGATTGGTCTTCGGTGGACTTGCTTGCTGTGGACTCTTGGCGATCGTCTCTGCGAAGGCATCACGGTCAACACAGAGTAAGAAAAGATTCCATACTGTCCCTGCAGTAATATCCCGCAACTGACAATGACATCCAGTATCCAAATCCAACGCCCTTTTCCACGAAGCTCTCCATCTCTTCCTAATGACCCAATCCAGGATAACCAACGTCCCAATCTTTCTCCTATTTCGAACCCAAGGCGCGATCTTATCATCGCTCAACCTCACCGGAATCGAAGTAACGGCCACCACCCTGATACTGCAGTACATGACATTCTTCGCCTTTGGCGGGTCAAATTCGATCTCCTCAGTCGATCTTTCAAGCGCTTATAATGGGGTCGGCAGTTATAGCGTGGTTGGAGTCGGCATTCTGACTTTCGTCAGTAACTGGGCCGGACCTGTTTGGTGGATTTCGAAGGGCCATCTTCTTCGCCCTCGCACGCCTCCCTCTGAGTCCCCCGAGGGAGAAAAGCATGACTCCGCAGCGCTGTTCACATTCCAAGTCGCCGCATCATTGCTTTCCGTCATGGCAGCTTGTACAGCACTCAGAACACATTTGTTCATCTGGACCGTGTTCTCGCCGAAATATCTCTATAGCATGGCGTGGGCGACGGCAAACCATGTTGCAGTCAATATTCTGGGCGGAATCGGTCTCGCCTGTCTCTGGCCGCGAAGATAGATAGGATATGATAGGAACAGATTTTAGAATCAGATCAAACCCCGGGAGAAAAAAATCTTCCTGGAGAGATCATCAAAGAAATCACCATCCAAGCGTAGCATAATCCAAAAGAGATCGGAATCGGAGATTCGACTCTTCAGAATAACCCGCTGAACAAATCATCAATGGCGTTCTTTTTCTTTTTACTAGAACTCTTCTTGACCTTCTTCTTTTCCTTGTCAACTTTGACAGATTTCTCATTTCCTCCGTCGTCGGATCGAGACTGCTGTTTTTTGCGCAATATGGGCAAGTCACTGCCGTCGCCGTCGACGTCACCACCACCGCGACAAATCCGTTCTCCACGATCCACCACAGCTTTCGCGACAGCGGGCTTAGAGCTCAGCCTTCTGCTTCGGTTCTACCCTCACAGACACAGCCTTCGCGCGCGGATACCTCATACCCGTAGCCTTAGCCAGACGCGCCAGAGCAGCGAAAAGCACGATACCAAGGGTAGAGAATTGGTTATCAGCAACGACAGTGGAGAACGCCCTACCATAAAAAATCAGCGCTGTTAAAATTGAATTCCGAAATCTTTTTCAACATACTGGTAGCATTTCGGGATCAGATGCAAGTGCAGATGTTGCAGGTGGGAGCTTGTCGCAAGCTTCTTCGGGTCCAGTGATGCCAGGACCGAGACGGTGCGTTTCAGCATTGATAGCCATCTCCACCACTTCGCTTTTTGGTGCTGGTTTTTGTTACGGTGGTAGATTAGGTGGAGGATGGAGCGGACGGACTGGATCTCCTGAGGGTCCATGTTGTTGGGTGGTTGTGTTTGCATTCTGCGAGTGTACCTTCAGGTAGAAGTGAAGCTCCGGGGAAATTTCTGGTGCTGCGGGAGGGCCCCACACCGCTCCACTGGGATGATCATGGGACGACACAACTACATTCATACTGGCTACATTCATGGCTTAATTATAACCAATGCCTAGAGATGCGATATGACATGGGGTTAATAGCGGTCAGAATTTTCCTTAGAAATCTTTAATCCGTTCTACTGACGAGCAAAGGAAGCTGTTATACTTGCAAGTAAGTGAGTATAATCAGATGCTTTAACGAAGAGAAAAATAACAAATAACTAGCAGTGAAATACAATTGACAGCCATCAAAGTACATACATGCATAGATCAGATCATATCATGTCAATCCTCATGCTGGAGCAATAGGCTTCGGAGCCTCAACAAAAGCAAGCGGCGCATTCGCCGCCAACAATCCAATCGCACGCCCCGTCTCCCTAGGATCAACCCCAATAAAATTATTAGGAAACCCAATCTCAAACGGCCTAACGCTTTCCAAGTACTCAATCTGCTCCCGCGACAATTTGATCTTCAACGCCTGAATATTATCATGCAGATATTCAACCTTGCGACCACCAACCAAGGGAAACACATTCGGTGCTTTAGCCATCACATACGCAAGCGCAATAGCAGTGACCGACTCAATACCATGCTCTTCAGCAACCTTGGCAAGAGCCTCGCTCATACGGACCTCATCCTCCGTCTGCGATCCATCGCCCATCATACTGCGCAGCCCTTCCCCCTTCCTTCTCCTCTCCTCCAGAGATTTCTTCGTTTGGAACTTGCCGCTGCCAATAGCATCCCAGGGCGCAAGCGCCATACCGAAATGCCGCGCCATAGGAATAATATCCCGCTCAAAGTCGCGCAGCATGACATTCCACCGACCTTGGTAAATACTAAAAGGCGTCTTGCCCTGCTCAACCGCGTACGTATTCGCCGCACTAACCACCCACGCCGGCGAGTCGGAGATACCCAGATACAACACCTTACCCGATTGAACCAGCATATGCAGACTATCCATCACCTCCTTGATAGAGGTTGTGTGATCCCACCAATGTAGGTAAAGAATATCAATATAATCCGTCTGCAGCTTCCGCAGCGAGTCACGGAGCGAGATATTCAGACTGCGGCGGTGGTTACCGCAGGAATTCGGAGCGTGACCTTTGCCCAGGGCGTGTGACTTATAGTCAGTTGTGAACTTGGTTGCAATAACCATTTGCTCGCGGTTGTTGCGGGCTGCCATCCATTCGCCGAGCCATGTCTCGGATTGTTCATCTTGGTAGCTATTCGCTGTGTCGATGAAGTTGCCACCGGCTGCGACGAAGGCGTCTAGGAGCTTGAAGGAGGATTCTTTGTCCATTGAGCCCATGAAGCTGGACCATGCGTCGCCGATGGACATTGCGCCTAGCTGGAGGGGTGAGACGCGAATACCTGCTGTTGAGGAGAGGATGCGGTAGCGGCCGAGCTCGGTGGCGGGTTCGGGGGCGGGCTCGAAAATTTTCGACATGATGAACGTAAATGGGTTGAAGTTGGAGATTGAGAGATTAGAGGAATGGTTTGCTGTAGAGGTGAGGGTTAGAGAATTGTTCGAGATAGAAATGGAGTTGGCTTGGTTTATATACCTGGACCGGATGTTCGCGTAGTAACGTGCCCAGGTGTTTCAGGGGTGAGTGGCCCACTCACTCATGAAACATGTCAGTGGTGAAGTCGTCACGGCAGTACTATGGGGGATAGAAAGCGGCAAAGAGGGAAGCTATTGACGGCTGCCTTAGAGTACCTTTCTTCTACTATCTAGGACAAACCGTCAGTTGACATCATGATTCTAGAATAAACTCCACCGCTGACAGGTATCCACTGGTCAGCCAGACTAAAACCGTTTAAACCCGAAGATTATTGGGTAATATGTAGTTCCCGGGCCATCCGACTAAGTTAACTAATATGCATATGCATAAAAATAAGGTTTCTGTGGTTGCGGATTGAAAATGGCAGGACCTCACAGCTTCGGAGATAACGGAGATTTCCATGACAATGTTTCAGATACTATTAACTTGAAGAAACCAGGACTTCTGCACATATTTCGGAGAAACAACAATCACCCCACTAGCCTCAGCAACTAGCGGGGCCGAAAACAATTGGGGTAGCCGAAATCATTGGGATTAGGTATCAGGGTCCATCAAGTATACTCTTGCGGGCCGCTGTTCTCAACATCTACAGAATACATTGGGAAACATCGAGTTAACAGGTAGAAAAATCTGCATTATTGCTGTGAGTTGAGATTGAGAATATCAAAGATATGAAAGGATTTTCGAGGTACAATGTTTTGTGATCTTCAAGTCATGCAGCCTCATATCAGCCACGGCACAAACCTGGAAAAGGTCCGTGACACAAAACGGTCCCTCTCGAATCGTTTCCATGGGTTGTTTTTCGCCTTTTTCAAACAGGGATAAATGGTGGTAATTATCGGGAAAAAGGTCTTCGTCGTAAATCATCTTCGTCATCGTCGTCGTAGAGGTCATCATCGTTCACCGTTGAGTCGTTTCAATGAGAGTTACCTCAAATGCTTGCTTCCAGTCACGTTGAATCTAGTCGGTACGAGAAGGTCGCGAACTGTTGTTCCAGGAGTGTGAGGCTCCAGCTCCACGATCAAGGGGCGGAGGTCCCGAGCGATGATTGCCACGAGTTCCAGCAGGACGAGGATGGCCGTGTGAACCAGGCACAGAGTGGTGAGAACGGTCGCCATGGCTGTGTGGTCCGCGGATCGGGGTCGACATTGAAGTCGGCATTGGCATCGATGTTTCACGGTCAAGTCGGACGCCGCCGGACTCGTTGCTGTCTACCGACACCATGCGGGGGTGTGGACCCATGGAATGACGAAAGCCGCCAGTGCCTGGCGGTGGTCCTCTGTACAATCCTGCAGGCACTCATTAGTTGACTTGAGCTTGAATTGCCGGTCAAACGGCAAGGGCTGCTATGGGGGCTTACCACTTCGTCGGCTTCTATCCACGCCTTTAGCCAGGATGAAGAAGTTGTTCACCGGTGGGAATGAGGCCAATCGACCAGTACGAGGACCAGAAGTGTGGAATAGCTGTCTAGGATTAGCGCTGTACACTCAAAATCAACCGGCAGAAGACTCACTTTGGGACGATTGTCTGGATGGTTGAGCATAACCGGGCTGTTCCGGAACTTCTCGACAAGAGCTTCCCTACCTTGCACCGCTATTGAAGATACTTAGTATTGACGAGGCGGGAGAGAGGAGGATATAACGGACTGGCATAGGACATCTCAGCGACTTTTTCGACATGGGTTTCGAATCCGGGCCTGAAGAATAGGAGTTAGCATGTCGGGCTTCGTTCCAAGGCGAGAACATATCAATCTTACCAACACATGCTCTCGCGAGCCTCCATGAACTGTAAAATCGTCAGTGGGGGCCTTCTTATGTCAGTTTCAAGGTTGAGGATGGAAAATTACCGCCATGATATCCAGGGGCTAAGTGTGAAGTTAGTAGAAGATCATGAAGCGAAGAAGAAGCATCAACGTACAACGCTGAAGTTAACAAAAGCGTAACCAACACTGAATAAAAAGGTGCAAGTTAGTCAATTGTCCAGAAGAGCTGGCTGGTAATGAAAAGCCTACCTCTGGTTTTGATCAAAATCTATGGCATCTGGTTTTTAAAATTGTCAGCCTTTCCGAAGAGGTAGAACAGGTACTTACCCATGCGAAGGTACATGAAATCATAACAGTTGGCACTGGTTAGATCGAGGACATGTTTCAGATGTTGCTGTTTTCTTTTGTCAGTTATCTGGAGCCCAGACTGGTGAAGGAGGAGAACGTTACCCAAGTCATTTGGTTGGGTAGGTTTCGAAGCATAACCTGCGAGAGTCAAAAGATATCAATATAAATACTGGGTTTCCAGGCTCTGGATATGAAGACTGACAGTCGTGCGTCCATCTTGACCGTAATAAATCTTGCTCAGGTCGATGACGTTCCGAGCGGGCTTCAGTTCATCCGGAATAGGAGGACTTTCTGGGTCACTTGGCGACATGTACATGCGTCGTGCTGGTGTTCCGGGGAAGGACATTGAGGCCCGACGAGATTTGGGGACAGAAGTCCAGTGACGCTGCGTGGCGCTTGGCATATCACGATGCAATGGCATGACTTCCATCACAAAATCCTACAAAAGCTTGGTTAGGTAACCTGGTCCAAAAATGAGAGCAAAAGAAAAGCAAAAAGAAATAAGCCAAAATATTTTCAAGAAATCATAAGAAAAAGGAGGATATCACAAAGGGTGAGAGTAGCGCGTACCGCAGTGCGAGTAGCATTCAACGCCTTTACAGCATTGGCTGCATGGCGAGAATCGAAGTACTTGACAGCTAGCTCATGAGTTGTCAATCGGGATCCGTCAGACGGAATACCAAACTGGAGCTCATGAATCGAATGCACTTTGCCAGCCAACTCCAAAAACTGCTTGATTCGTGCGAGAACGTTTGAAGGCTGGATCGTAGAATATGTTCCACAATAGACTGTGACCACAACAGAGTCATCAAAGCTCAGGGGCAAGGGGCTGACCATACGGCTGTCGCGAGCAAAGTCCTCTGCGGAGAGAGGAACCAGTTCCCATTCCTTGTAGTCGCGATTGATGCGCTGGATGGCAACATCGACATCCCTACTGTCAGAGAAGGAAACAAAAAAACGACCAGTGAGGTTCAAAGTAGTCCAAAAGGGACCATTGACAGACGCGAGATTCTAAAGCTCAAGTTAGCATTTGGAAGCGATCCCTTGAGTAGAGATGACTTACCTGAAACAACTGAACCACCTCAAGGCCCTCCGTGTCTGTGTCCACGTTGCGCACAAGGAACCGACGATCATCGCAAATTGAAGTTTCCAGATCCTTAGGCTGCAAGGGCGAGATCTGAGGGCTGACGAAGTTGTTCTGGATACCAAAAGGTTCGCGGGGGTGCGAAGTGGGACCCGAATTTGCCGATGCGTCGTATGTGACATGGGCTGGACCTCGTAGAGGCAGACTGAATGGGATGCGTCCGTAAGAGCCCGATGGTGGAGTTGCAACAGGGTAATTCGGGTTCACGGGTGCAGCTGTCGGATCAAGATAGACAGGCAACGACTGCGCAGGTGTACTTCCCAAGGAGATCGGACTATCCACAAGGTCCGCGTTTTCGAATAGGTTGTAGGCGCGTGCCATGAATGGGTCCCTGTCCATGTCAGCGAGCACAGCAAATTCCACGAAGGTTAGGTATACTCACATAGGAACTCGAGGGTCCATTTCTCGGGATCTTCCAACCAGAGGGCTGACAGTCGGCTGCTGAGCGTGGAAAGTGAACGAGGCGAGTTCACTGTCAGGGGTCTTCCGAGTAGCAGATCCTCCAGAGGAGGTCTCCTTTGGTGGCTGAGAAACCATAGTGGGAGTCTCGATGCGTCGGACTGTCACCTTTGCGAAGGCGAGGAAATGAAAGAAAGCCGAGCCGAGCCGAGCAATGGGACCAGCTGGTGAGGGCCAAACGAAGGTGAGTGATAAGGAAAATGTAGAGAAGCAGGACTGAGAAACCAAAAAGGAGAGGGAATCGTCTCAAGAATTGACAGTGACTGCTCACTGGGGTCGCCAAGCAGATTGGAAAGTCATTGGTCCAATGGTGAGCAAATTTCCGAAAAAGGAGGACTGGAGGACTGCAAAGCTGCAACGGTGGGATTTGCGGGTCCAGTTGAGGTCAGGTGCAATCACTGTAGGTCGGCATTGGCCGACCTGACCTTTTTTAGTATCAATGCATCATCCCATTATGGCAGGCACCCACTGGAACTGATTGGGTCTATAGCGAAGCAGCAGCAGCAGCAAGAATGAAGACGATAAGATATTGGAGTGAAAGGTGGCATTGTGAGGTCCTACAGACCCATGTCATATAAATGTATAGATATCGAAATCGGAAGATCATCTCAAATAACACTTATATCTCGTCTCATAGAAGTAATAGTGAAGAACCAGAGTATGTGTAGGCTACCCTAGAAGTAAGCTAAAATAGAAATTAACATGTACTGGTAGGTGACATACCATGACAGAGAAGTGGAGATCTGCTGGTTGGCTATGGTGAGTTGTGAGCATAAAATCGAAATTGCATTAGGTTCTATTTGAGATCTGTGATTTATGTTAGCCTAAGTGTGAATGTAGTGATGCAATAAATTACTGAGAGATAGTCACAGTATTGATGGATAACAGTATAGGCAATCAAGTGCCTGAAGGTGAAGGGAAAGAGAAAAAGGATGGATAGTCAAGGATAGAAAAGAAAAATAAAATAGAAAGTAGAAAGTAGAAAGCAGAAAGGAGAGAAGTATAAACATCCGAATGTAGTCATGAACGGTTGTATGTGATAGATGCTAGTCCTAAATAGGGCTAGCGCGGATGACTAGCGCAGATGGCTATCGTCTATCGTCTATCTGGCGCCGCGGAGTGCGGTAGCTCCTCCAGGCTGTCTCCAGGTCCGCTCGTGATGCCCATCATGGTGCCCACAATGCCAGAACCTCATGTTCTTAATCAGGTACAGGAGATATCTGCGCTTTGCATACTTCAAGACTTGCCACTAACAACATAGATCATCATCTCCCCTTCCGACACCGACTACCTCGATCAGCTCATCCCCTCAATCAGAGACTACAGCGTTGGCAATCGCACTCCACAGCTGTTACAATCTCTGTCGCGCTTTGCAGCAGACAAAGAAGCCGAGATCGAAAGCATATGTAACACAAACCACCAAGAATTCGTCTCCTCCGTCAATTCCCTCCTCCAAATCCGAGAAGGTACCGTCAGTCTAACTGCCGAGATCCTCGACCTCAATCAATCCATTCAAACAAGTACCGAGCGCCTAGCCGAACAGAAGAAAGCCCTAGTCGAATCCCGCGGCCACCGTCAGAACATCGACGAGACATCCCGCGCGATCCAGGATTGTCTCGAAGTCTTACGCCTCGCGAACCAAGTCCATGATTTGCTAGCCAAGAAGAACCATTATGCGGCCTTACGCGCCCTGGAAGAGCTACAGAATGTTCATCTCAAGGGTGTTACACAGTACAAAATTGCGGAAATGATCCAACGCTCGGTGCCGGCCACCCAGCGCGCGATCGCAGAGGCGGTCATGTCCGATCTCAATACCTGGCTCTTTCACATTCGAGAAATGTCTCCCTTTCTGGGTGAGCTAGCTCTTTTCCGCACAGATCAACGCAAATCGAGGTTAAAGGAGCGCGCGGAACAAACTCCGTACTTGGAACATTTTAATCTCAACTCCGCGATCGAATTAGTTGCTGATGAAGACGAGGAGTATAACCTCCTGCAGAATGACGATCTGCAAGTCTCATTCACCCCGCTTTTTGAGTGCCTACACATTCACCAGTCTCTGGGGCAGATGGATAAGTTCCGAATCGAGTATGCTGGCACGCGTCGCCGCCAAAAAGACCTTCTCCTTCCTGCTTCCGTCACTCTTGTTGACGAGGGCGGCGCAAGTCTACACAATCTGCTGGAAGAAATGGCCGGCTTTGCAATTGTAGAGCGAGCTACCATGATGAAAGTTCCGGATCTACGATCCTCTGTGGATGTACGCTTCGTTCCCCTCCCCTCTGTCGGCAGAGAAGCTGGCTTTTTCTGTCAAGTGTTCTAATCAAACCAATTGTCTCACCCAACAGGTAGAGGAGCTTTGGGACTCGATGTGCCAGGGTGCCGTTGGCATTATCTCAAAGGCCCTCCACGCGGTCGACAATGCAGAGAGCATCTTGAAAACTAAGAATTTGATAGCCTTGTTCATGCAAACGATGAATGTTAGTTCAATCACTATCTGTCCGTCCTATCCCACCCCGAGACCATCGATACTAACACGCGGAACAGACGTGGAACTTTTCGGTCAGGGTGTTTGACGATTTCCTGCTTAGGCTCTTCGAGAAGTATGCAGAACTTCTGAAGAGACGATTTAGCGATGATTTCCAAGAGGTACCGTGCTTCAATTTCTCCCATTCCTTTGAGCCATTCATCTCTTTTTCTGTATTCTTATAAAAGACCATTCCACTAACCCCCTCATAGATCGTGTCTACAGACGATTACATGCCGATGCCAATACAGACCCTGGAGGAATACGACAAAGTTCTTAATGTGAGCTGGTATGCTCCAGAGGCATCCCGCGAAGAGCAAGTGTATGTCGAGATCATCCACAATGCTCAATTCAGAAGCCATCCTAACAAACTTTCATTTTTCACAGGTTCCCATGTATCTTGCCCTTCTCCAGGATGTACCCCCTGTGTTGTATCGATATTCGGAACTTCCTGAATCAGTTTTATTTCTTCGCCAATGACGATTTCTCTCATCCCAGCGTAATCGACGATACATTGAAAGATGTGAGTATGACCCGGTGCGAACGAGTTTGAACAAAAGCTCCTTGCCTTTGCTTTCCTTTACTAAACTCGTCAAGGCCGTCGATGATCTTCTCTCGCGGAAGGTCTGCGATACACTAGTCGAACGCCTCTCCTCCCAATATTTGGGCCAAATCGTCCAGATTCTAATCAATCTGGAACACTTCGAGCTAGCATGCCACGAGCTGGAACTATTGCTTGCAGCAGCTCGGTCCCAAAATTCCACCGGCACCTCAATTACTCTCCGCGCAACCGAGAAATTCCGAAGCAACAAGAAAGCCGCCGAGAAACGGATCTTCGAGGTCGTCAATTCTAAGATCGACGACCTTGTCGAAACAGCCGAATACGAATGGATGGCCACGACCCCGCCCAGCGAACCAAGCAATTACATGCAAACCCTGACAAGATTCCTGTCCAACATCATGAACTCCACTCTTCTCGGACTGCCGACCGAAATCAAAGAACTCATCTACTTCGACGCGCTCAGCCACGCAGCGAACATGATTTTGGTAAGCGCTCTCTCCCACTTCCCCCTACTTGCCGCAACAAATGCTGACACGCACCCTCTTTGGCGCAGTCTCTACCAATGGCCCCAGAAGTGAAAACCATCAATCCAAACGGCGTCATCGCACTAGCCAAAGACGTGGAGTATCTTTCTCAATTCGTGGATAGTCTAAATAACCCGATCCTGCGCGAAAACCTCGACGAGCTGCAACAAACAGTCCAGCTCATGCAGGCGGATAACGCGGATGAATTCTACGACATCTCGACCCGGAATAAGAAATACGGTCGTGTCGACGCTATGCAAGGGCCGGTTCTCTTGGAAAAGTATGTTACTTGCTTCGCTTGCTCCTTGAAGTTATCTTTACATCTTGGATGGTTACAAATGCTGACCTTGTCTTTTCTTGCCTTCTTTTAGGCTTACTCGGACCGTGCAAGCGCCGACGAAGGTGGATAAATTTGCGAACCTTTCTTCGCGATTCAAGAAGACTTCGAGTTGAGATATGTGCAGCGAATTAAGTTGATTTAATGTATTTTTTCCCATGAATGCCAGGACTTGAATTCCTCATTGGTGGAAGACTGAAAGTAAAGCAAACTCCACTAGAGATCCCATCCACTGATTGTGTTAAATATGGAATCCGTTATGATAAATGGACACCTGCTATATTTACGGAGTATTCTCTTCTGAGTGAAACTGCAAAGCGTATCTGTACCCATTATACTATCAAGGCCTATAGTAACTGTTAACGATAATGGGAGAAGAAAAGAGCGTCTCGCTCGCCGAGCCTATCCCGCACACACCACATCGTCTATATTGAGCGTCGTGCATGTATACTATCACCAGCCGTGCCAAAAGAGGCTCGAGGCAGAAAAGAAGCTGTTATTACAACCTTGGAAGGTTTGAGCAAATTCGAGAGCTAGTCGAGTCTGCCATAAAATAAGCATGTTTTACGAGATAGAAACGATACAGATCAACCATGGTATTCTCGACTCGAAGGAAATACAGAAAGAAACGAAACAGGAAATGGAAGAATTATAAGATCTCAACTGCCCTCAGATACCTTTGAAGCTCTCAAATTTCGAGTGTACTCACAAGCTTCCAGAGAGGCACCCTCGAACAGGGAAAACCTCCGGATGCTGATCGTAATTGGCTTGGTGTCATCACCGGACAGTCAGGATATCAATTCAACGCAAGCGAGAAACCCTCGGAGAAGGATAGGGGCTCGGTCACAGGAGAGAGCAAACAGGCCTTTCGGGCCGAGAAGAAATGGCACATTTTAATTTGTGACCTACGTACAAAAAGGTATATGTGATCCAGAAACAAACAACAAAACCACAAACGAACAGAGTCAGCCCAAGGCAGCCCGAGTAGGCGATAGGGCTCTGAGAGCATATGATAGAATCATTTCTCTCATAATCGATCGGCCACTCAATATAACGGGCGTGGCCGTAGCCTTGCATGAATATGTGGAACCAGGGGCAGAACGAAACGAAATATCAAAGGGGGAAACCAGTATTCGCCGAGAGCCGCAGTCAAAACAAAAGGGGGAGAAGAAGGGAAATGAAAGAAAGACAACCTTGTTAAACAGCAGTCCTTGAAAGGGTCATGCGAGTAGTTTACTGCGAAACATTAGCAAAAAACCACGCAATCGTTGATAGAGACCACGGCGGGAAAACATACCTGTTGAGGAGGCAAATGCGGGTACGCATACATTCCATCAAACATCTGAGGTTGAGGCTGGCCATATGCAGCTGTGGGGTCTTGCTGCACAGCACCGGGATACATAGCCGGCTGGGGGCGATATTCTTGCTCTTGGGGCATACCATGTTGACCCAGAGAGCTGTAATCCGCCGGGCCGAGGTGAGCCTGAACACCGTGCTGAGACTGAGGAAGTTGGCCCGCAGCGCCAGAGGATCCAGGTGCGCCAGGAGCACCAGCTTGGCTGGACCGCTTAGCGTGCGAAGTAGCTTCCTCGCGGGGGACAATGTCGATAAGGAAATCAAACATATCGGACTTGGAAAGGGCGGCAGCGATGTCGGAGCGCTGGAGGGTGCGGCGCTTGTTGTCCTCGGCGTGGATCCAAGCGCGCATGGTTAGCTCTGTGATGAAGATGTCGCAGCCCTTGGCGAAGAGGATTGGGGCTTCGGCGGAAATCATCTTTACTTCTGGGTCTGCTTTCATGACCTTCTTGATGCGAGCGAGTGGGAGTTGGTGGATCTTGTAGTCGTGGTTATCAGATTCCAGGTGGTTGATGACGTGTTGCCAGTATGTTGTCAGGATGTCGCGGGCTGTTCCTTGGAGACCTTGGTTTACCTGTTTGGGTGTCAATCACGATATAATATGAGATGGATTGGACGTGCCACCAGAAACTCACATTGGCCCAAGTACCTGTGTACAGTTCAGCTACAGGAGCATAGCCTTGTGCCGAAAGCTAGAGGGTTGAATTCTGGTTAGCAGTGAAATGAAATCCCTCGCGACATCCCATCTCCCATGATATCCCCGCAAGTTCGGGAAAGGACGCGGATCGAATTGTGGATGTAAGCATACCGCTGCACTGGCACCTGCAAAAAAGGTCAGTCGATGAAGTTCATGTCTAAATTATGAATTGCGGTGGCATCCATCGCATAGCCCCGGGAAGAGGGGTTCGCGCTCCTCGGAAGCCGGAAGCTGATGCGACGGTAATGCAATTGACAGGGCGCAAATACCATAGTGTCCCCCATTCCTAATATCATAGACAGGCTGTTGCTGAGAGTGTTGCTGGCGAGCAGAGGGAAGGCCAGCTTGCGGGGCAGTGCCCTGTGGTGCGGGCTCCATATCGAAGGCACGCGCGCAAGAGGGTGTTGGGTTGCGATGGAGTCGGGCAGGACCGAGACCGAGGAGTCGCGGGTATGTTCGAGGAGACGGGGGCGGTAATAGAGGGCGGATAGCACACTTGGAAGGTCAAGTCGTGAAGAGTAAAGGTGAACAGGTCAATTCAAGTTGTTGTCGCTGGCGCGCCTGGTGATGAAAGAAGCGCGTCGGATCGTGCCAAGCATGGAGGTCCTTCAGCTGTCTGACGTTTTCGGATGCTCCCCCGCCGGCCAACGTCCATTGCGATTGCGACTTGGGCTGACTTGTGGTCAATATCCCAATTTTAGGGTTGGTTATTTCTTCAATTCCAACATTACTGGTCTCTATATTTATTCAAATCTGTTTAATCATTCTGGACTTTATGCGACTCGAGATAGGAGTGAGGTACGCGGAAACTAAGTATACAGTACATGCTTTTAGCTATTAATACGTAGTATTGTGCAAGTATTAAGTACTTAATTACCAGGTTGCTCCAATACCATGTCACATGATCTCGTCCTTCCCTTTCGGGTGCTTCTCACAAAAGTTTGTCCGATCCGAGCAGCAACAACAGAAAAAAAAAATTTCCCTCTATAAAATCCACCTTTGCACAGCTAGCCTGCATTCCTCCGACACCCTACTTTGAGCAGGGATGGCCGCTTCAATTGTTGCGGAGCCCAGTGTTCAGCCTCAGGATGAGGTTGACTTGACTGATGAGCAGATTCAACAGCTTCTGCTCGAGGCAGAGGGCCGACTGCGTGGCCCTGACACCCAATCCACAGAGCTGGACATTGCCTCCTTAAGGTATGCTCCAAACACCCAATGACCAACATCCCACTCCGACCACTCAATGCTAACAACACCATTAGGATCCCCAAATTGTCTTCTGGGTCCTCGCTCGAGCCTTACGTTCAACAGAAGGACGATGTTTCAACCGCCAAAACATCTGAGCTCATTGACAAGAGGTATAAGGAACTATCCAACAAACTGCATACCACTGGCCAGAAGCCCGCTGTCCAGGTAAGACGACTCCTTCCATTCTCCCACCCACCACCCTTCCATATTGCTATGAGGAAAATTTTTCCCAAACGCAAAGCGCTTGATGCGGCGTCAGCAGTCCGTTTTGGGCTGTGCTGCACCAGTGAGAGTTTTATTTTTCATAGTTACTCTGAGCAATTACACTTGATATCATGTCTTTTACGGAGTGAAACCTCGTGAGCATCAAAGCTAACCGTCGACACTCTAGGAAAAAACCACTGCCGGCCCCGAATGGTTCGACCTTCCCAAGACTGTCATGACGACTGAGTTCAAGAGAGATCTGCAACTTCTTCGCATGCGATCGGTCCTTGATTCGAAGCGTCACTACAAGAAGGAGAACGGAAAGGCCAAGGCCCCCAAGTTCTCGCAAGTCGGTACCATTATCCAGGGCCCGACAGAATTCTTCAGTGGTCGCATCGCGAAGAAGGACCGCAAGAAGACCTTTGTTGAGGAGACCATGGCTATTGAGCGCCAGAACAGAAAGTTCGAGTCCAAGTATCGCGATATCCAGGGTACAAAGACAAGTGGCAAGAAAGCCTACTACAACAACCTCAAGGCACAGAGAAAGCGACCGAAGAAGTGATCGTGTGGTATTCGAGAAACTTAGAATTTGGGTCATGTTACAAAGCCCTCTATTTCTACCGAAGCACTTTCCGCGCTATCAACTAGATGGCTTGGTGGTACCGGTACCTTGCATCTGACATGGAACTACTTCCATGCTCTTCACGCACTACCAAAGACGTTCACCAGAGTTTGTACCACCAATTTCTGTGATCGTGGTCAGCTTCTGCTCCATTGAAATCTGCTGCAGAGGAAGGATGCCATACCTGCATATCCACAGCCGCTGCCCGGCCTGCCTCCAACACTTCTTCGTGGCCAGCCTTACCCTCCTCCAAGAGCGCGCTCAGTTCACCTGCAGCTTTGTCTTGAAGTAGCTCCTCGTCCCCACGAGGTACGGGGGCTAAAACGGCATTGTTAGTCACCAGACTCATTGCCAACACCCGAAGACCACAATGTCTGGCAACGACGATTTCTGGGACGGTTGACATTCCAACGACGTCGGCGCCCATCATTCGAAGCATGCGGCTTTCGGCTCGTGTCTCGTAACTACCTGTTGTCAGCAAGTCGGTTCTCCTCAGCCTGCTTCTCGTCGTTGCTTACGTGGGACCTCCAACAAAAGCATACACTCCTTCGTGTAACTTGCGGTTAGTCTGCGGTGTAGTGATCTCTTTCCATGCTCGGTGCACGTGACGACGAAGCTCAAGATCGTACGCATCCGAGAGAGGCGGGAAACGAACGCCAAAGTCCTCGTCATTGGGACCTCGCAGTGGATGAGTTCCTGCCAGTCCCGCGAGGAAAAGATGCTGGATGTAGTTGTTAGCGATGTATTAAATATTTCCGGTGAAAAGAGATAGTCTTACATCATTCAGCAGGGTGATATCACCCACGCTATAATCAGAATTGAGGCCACCGGCCGCGTTTGTCACTGCCACACATCAATTTTCGTGCCGATTAGAGTAGAGTATACGTATAGATGTAACTCGAAATGAAAGTAGAACTTACAAACAACGGTGTCCACGCCCAATTGTTTGAACACTCGAATGGGAAATGTAACCTGCTCCATTGAGTGGCCCTCGTAAAAGCTTTATCATTTAGCAGATTAGCATGAGATTCTATGCAGAATCAAGTTCAATCTCACTGTGCACGGCCAACCATCAAGACAGCAGGAATCTTCTGGCCAAGAAGTCCAAACACCAATTTCCCCGCATGTCCGGCGACTTTGACAATTATATTAGCCTCCATGAAAAGGTGTTCATTGTTTAGCAGGCCAAGAAAACTCACCTGTGGAACGAGGAAAGTGAGGAATCGAAGCATAGTCGAATTCAGCACGAGGTTCAGACTGAACAGTCTCTGCCAGACCACCCAGTCCAGAGCCGCATACTATGGCCACCTGAGGCTTTCGCAGGCCCTCGGGCAAGCCGTTAGTCAGGAAGGAAACGGCCTCGTTTGCTCGATCGAAAGAAGACATGTTTGTAGCTGGTGTGGAGGTATGTGACGAAAGAAAGAAGTAGAGAAGTGCTGCTCAAGCGGGGTGGATCGTGGATCTCCAAGAAATCTTCTGATGTTGCGGAGTCGCGTGCGACCCCATTGGCTGGACTGGAGGAGTGTTTCGCTTTGAGTCGGGCCGACGAAGAGTGTGATCCATGCCGATAATACGGAGTATTGGAATATGGATTAGTTATATCTTTAGTTGGTGTGTGAAATATACAATAAATTGTCTGAAATGCGAGAATAAATGTTTGCCTGGGCTATGACTACGTAGGTCCGAGTCCATCTATAGAATGGGCCGGCTGTCACAACCATCCCCCCAAGGTATTGTCACCATTATTTACGATATCATCCACCTGATTGGCTTGAACACGCAATTCCAAATAATGATGATAATACTATATTTTCCCCAGACTTGCCAAAGATGATCGATCCTTGGGTACTGATATGTCATAACCAATACTGGCTGTCCCGTGGTGCCTGCAACGCCGCCTGACCGCCTTTCAGCAACTGCACCTCCGAAGAAAAAAACCCGCACCAAACAGACAGATACCAGCCATTGACGATGTTTTCGAACCCAACACGCTCCTTGCTCGGAGCCGGCAGGCGCCTGAGGGTATGTTGAACTCCTTCCCTTGTTTTACATATCTTTAAACTGATCAATTCGTGCCACAGGTGCCCCTGTCCGCCCGCTGGCAATCCACTACTCCTACTCCCAGCCAGCCCAGCGCGCCATCGCCAGCTCAAGAAACAAAGACAGCCCCCGCGGCCGAGTCAGTGCCAACCCCCGAGGCAAACTTGGCGAAGTCTACGTATGCGACCATTCCTTCCGACTGCGCACGAACAAAAATACTGATTGAGATGGATGATCCAGACCTCCCACCACCACCGAACCCGAACTGCCATCCGAACAACGTGTGAAGGAATGGTAAGAAGAGCACATTGAATCCAACCGGATTGACAAACCGAACGCCAGGAAGACACAATACTCATAATGAACCAGGTCCGAGCGCATGGGAGCTCTCGGCGACAACGCCCGTCTGCCTCGCAGCGTCCAAGCAGTATACATGCGCCCACTCCGCCGGAAAGCGGAACACGGCCTGCCTGTCTGCGATCTCCAACTCCGATCCTACAGCGTCGAGAACGTCGAATTCTTCGCCGACTTCGCCATCCGCGCCGCTTACTACCTCAACCTCCCCGTTTCCGGTCCCGTGCCCCTCCCCCGTATCGTCGAACGCTGGACCGTCCCGCGAAGCAACTTCGTGCACAAGAAGAGCCAGGAGAACTTTGAGCGAATCACCCTCCGCCGTTTGATTCAGATTAAGGATGGAAACCCGCAGTCCGTGCAGGCGTGGCTGGCGTTCCTCCGCAAGCACGCTTTCTACGGAGTCGGCATGAAGGCCAACGTCTGGGAACACGAGCCTCTCGGTATGTTTCCACCAGACCCAGACCCAGACCCAAATATCAAATACCTTCATGAACAAATTGCTAATAATATCTCAATCACAGACGTCGGCAAGGCCATGGATCAATCCGCCGCCGAAGTCCAGAAGACCCTCGAACCGCACCTCACCCAGTTCGGCCAGCGCGAGGACAACTCCGCTGGAAACAACATATTCGATGTTCTTGACAGCGATCGATTTGCTGAGCGCAAGAGCGCACGGGCGTAATCCAATCCTTGTTTTGGTTTTGTACCATTGCTTAGGGATTTGCTTTGCATATTTGGGGAAAACAACCTGGGCGTCATTATGTGTACTATTGTCTTGTCATTTTCTACCTCTACCACCCTTTTTATGAGCCTAACGGGGCCATCTGTATTCTACTCCGTCATATCCTATCCAACCCTGAATTGAAATCAGGAATTTTTCACTAGTTGCCTGTGCCCTTCTTAAAATCGACCGGCTTCGTAGTACTTCCAGGAGTAAGCAGTACCTGTGTATTAGTTTACAAACGACTTTTGTAGTCTATTTCATAGACCTGCTAAATGAAATAAATGTCTGAAGCACTAGACGGAACGTGCGGCGGCGAATGCGTGTCGAAGGGCAGGAGGTTCGTCATCGTCATCGTCGGGTAATACGCTCGTGAATGAATAGCGCTCATATGACCCATTTGCCGATATCGAAAGTACTAGCTGCTGCAGCGAAATTGTGCTTCACGATCCTCTTCATAAGCCACTTTCGGTATGGCCTATCTTTGAGTGCTTCGTCAATCCTATCCTGACGCTCCTTGGGTATTTTGAAGCTGTCAGGACGCTTCGGTTCATCCTTATCGATCAACCAACAGCTCCATGCCTTGTGTTGAGTCTTTCGGAACCCACACGGGCATTTCCTATCCTTGTAAAGCTTCGATTGTTCGGGTTTCGACACAGTTGCTTCATTGTGGCCGTGAAGCGACGAGAAGAGACTTTCGTCATCCAGACCTGGGTGCTTCTGGATGTAATAGGTATAATAGGTACGGAACTCGTCCATCAACGCGTCGAATTCGATGTCCTCTTCGTCAATCGTCAATAACGACTCTGTGGCAGGCAAACATATGCCAAAATTCCATGCTTATGATAGATTTGGTCGCATCGAGGAAGTCGAGATGGTACGCAATGTCCCACTTCTTCTGCACCTCAACCTGCAGGCGCATGTAGTTCTTTCTATTCCTCCGCCCCTTTGAGAACGTCCACTTCCTTCGGGGGGCGGCTTGATAGCCATCCTCATGTAGTTGTCTTTGTATTCGGGGGATTTCGAGTATCGTTTTTGCAAATACTGTACCCGTTCAGCCATGGTATCGAGCTGCGAGAGCACGCGCCTCATCAATTGATCAACGCTTTAGTCCACCCAGTTGCGTAGTCTGCCGCCCGTTCCGCGTAGTCCTTCCGACAATAAATGCCTATATAAAATCACGTGACATCGTGCCATCCCACGCGGCGGAGACACGGGCGTCGTCTCCAAGTACAGGAATCCATTCCGGTGAGGCCGACAACTTCTTTATACGAGGGTCTTGAAGTATGGCCACAATGCGCGTCTCACTCGCCCGCCACGGCGCCAATCCATTGAGGTCGACGAGCGGGAAAGGGAATTTCACCCTCCGTCCGGGCATTGCCCAACCATCAAAATGGCATCAGCAACGGTCACTGAACACGAGCACAAGCTCAGGACCCTCTGTAAAAGACCCCGTCATTTTCTCCGGCATCCAACCAACCGGCGTCCCCCATTTGGGAAATTACCTCGGCGCCTTACGCCAATGGGTAAAGCTCCAAGACGAAGCCAGTCCAGGCACGAAACTGCTCTTCTCAATCGTGGACCTCCACGCCCTAACAGTTCCGCAAGACGCGAAACAATTACGCGCGTGGAGGAGGGAGGCCTTTGCGACGCTGCTGGCTGTTGGGTTAGATCCGAAGCGGTCGACGATCTTTTATCAATCATCGGTAAGTTCGCGGAACTCCTAACAAACGGCCAAAATTATACTAAAGAGGTTTCATTCAGGTGCCGGCGCATACGGAATTGATGTGGATTCTCAGCACGGTTGCGTCGATGGGCTATCTTTCGCGCATGACCCAGTGGAAGGTGAGAATAATTTCCGCATCGCCGCGAGTTATTTAGCTGGTGGGCATGGGCATGGGCATGGCTAACTAACTTGTGCAGAGCAAGCTCCAACTTCCCGAGGACGCAAGCCTCGATGACTCGGAGGCCCGCGCACAACTACGTCTCGGCCTTTTCTCATACCCGGTCCTCCAAGCCGCGGACATCCTCATACACCGGTATAGAAACTCGACCACTCTGCTTCTATCCCCTTACTAACAATCCCCCAGAGCCACGCACGTCCCAGTCGGCGAAGACCAAAGACAACACCTTGAATTCTCCCGATACACAGCAAACAGCTTCAACCACCTATACGGAAACATTTTCCCCATCCCAGAGGCACACATCTGTAAGTTCAAGTTTATTTAGTTTGATTCCCCCAGCACCGCAAGCATAGAACCCGAGGCTTAAAGACCAACCAATCACAGCCCCCGCCAAACGAGTAATGTCGCTCAAAGAACCAACATCCAAGATGTCAAAATCGCACCCAGACCCCAAATCCCGAATCCTGCTCACGGACTCAGCGAGCGAGATTCAGAAGAAGGTCAAAGTAGCGCTCACAGACTCGGAAGCGAAAATCAGCTACGACCCTACCAATCGACCCGGTGTGTCGAATCTGATCGAGATCCTGAGCCACTTTGAAGGCGTGAGTTGTCAGGAGATTGCGTCCGAGTACGAGAGTGCTAGTCTGCGGTCGTTGAAGGAACATGTTGGCGTGCGGATTGCGGACAGTCTGAAGGATATTCGTGAGAGGTATGGTCAGATTATGGGTGATAGGGGTGGGTATCTTGATGATGTGGCGCGGGAGGGTGGGGAGGCTGCGCAGGCTAGTGCAGATTTGACTATGAAGAAGGTGAAGAAGGCGATGGGGTTGTAAAGTGTATATTAAGTAGGGGTATGATTTGTATAACAGTCTAGATGGCTAGCTTGGGTTTTGATCTAGGTTGGTATTTGTATTATATAATCCCATTGAATGGATAAAAGACAAATCTCCGAATAAATGGGAAGCCTTCCAAGGTTTTCCAACTCTGGCTACGTGGTATTTTACTGTTCTGAGACTCGGTGTACAGTTTTCTGTGAGGAATCACTAGTAGTAGTAATCTTCCAAGGTTGACTAAATGTATTCCGAAGGCAACACAGAGGACAAAACAACTTGAAACTTGAAGTGCTGGCCAGGACATTGAAAAGACTTCTAAAATTGAGAAAATATCTAAGCTTCGAGTAAATGCCTTCAAATTCATAACACGTGAGAGAAAAGAAAGAAATATCCACAAATCAAAACGAGGTATTCCACCGAGCACCAAATACACCAGAATATATGCAGTTGCGAAACGGCAAAGAGAAATAAAAAAAATAACAAGAATAAGAAAAAGCACCAAACCCTCAGCACGACGCCCTCACAGAGCAAGTAAGTATCCAGCCCCAGCCAACCCGATAGCCAGATGCTGGGCCATACCAGTCTGCCTCGGCGCCGCGTTCTCCGTCGTCGTGAAAATACCACTACCACCACCGATCCCACCAATGCGCGCGCCCGAACCAGCAACAGCAACGGACGTCACTGGGTTAGCCACGGCCGTAGCACTGGGCACTGAATCCGTGCCGGTCCCAATCTCAAGAATATTGCTCTCTGTCGCGTTGAAATTCGTGTTCGCGAGGGAGATCTCATTGTTCGCAAGATCATACACCACATACGCGCTGCGCAGGAACGTATCTCCCAGCACCGCGGTACTACTACCCGCAGGTGCGATTCCAAAAATACAAGCCCGTTCACCATTATTGTACCGGTAGTCGCCCATATTGAGGACCAGTTCGCTCACCGCGACGCTGATTTTCGGCGAAGAAAAGGTGTACGTGACGTTGACGTCCTTCTCAGCAAGACTGCACGGAACAATGCCGATTCCATTCGAGGAGTCGTAGGTGACGTCCAGGGCGTCGTAGATATCTTGCGTGATGGCGTCGGGCAGGTATGTTAAGGAACTTCCTGAGTCGAGGAGGACGCCTGCTGGCAGGGCAGTGGAGGTGTATTTGTGGGTTTTGGATGTTGTGGAGACGGAAACGCCTGTCAGGGCGATGATGAATTCGGAGTATACGCCTCCGACCTTAATGACGGGCAGTGTCTCCAGTGAGCCGTGGTATTTTTCCGTGTTCACTCCGCCGAATAGAATTGAGCCGGTGCTGGCGTCTAGGTCGTTTAACCAGAGACTGTAGGCGTTGGACTTAATTAATCCTTTCTGGACCATGGCTTTGGGAAGGTTGTTGTAGGCTGTATCGCCATTCTGGCCTGATTGGACTTCATTTGATGTGTATCCGATTCCCAGTACGCCCTCTGTATCCAAATGATTAGTCACCAACCATCAATCGCCGATTATATGGGCCAGAGAGAAGACGTATTACACACCTGAAGAAGCCGAGGTAAAGCCCACGGCGAATTGAAAGTCTTTGATAGTCGTCCCACCAACAGTGAGAGTGTCGGTCACATAGTCACCAGCAGCAGTGGATCCATCGGCATAGGTGATGTTGAAATCGGACGAGACGAAAGAGTATGATGACGATGCACTCGCATTGAAAGTACCGGCGTCCGAGCAAGGGTTCGATTTGGACTCGCAAAGGGTGGAATTGGGAGTATTGACCCACAGATCACTGCTGCCGGTGTCCATTACCAAGCGCAAGCTTTGCGCCGGTGTTCCCAGAGTGATATTGCAAAAGTAGAGCGTTTGCTAAAAGAAGCTTGTCAGCGGATGATCTTTGGAGTAACTTTTGAGTATATATTAGAAAGGGTCTTTCATACTTCATTGTCTAATGTTTGGCCGACAGTCTTGTCGCGCTTTCTTCGGACCCGATCTCGGGCAGCGGGGTCAACGACATCCTTGCGCTGAATATCCATGCCGATCACAGCCGGGACATCTCGCTCGTGGAGGGTGAGTCCCAACGCGGGCAACGCAAGGGATGCCCCCCCAGAGAAGCCAAGAATTCCTCATTTTTGTCTTTGTCTCAGGTTTTGGCTTTTCCCCACGGGTATATCTTCCCCGTCAAGAATGTAGATGGGATCGGCCCGTTTTCTTATTGTTCGATTTGAGTTATGGTTTCCTTTCACGGCGCAAAGTTGGTTTGGTTAAATGGAGTGAAGCGGTAGATTTCAGACAAGCTGGCTGTAGGTATCGTGAGGGTTGGAAGATTAAGTTAGAAGAGGCTGGGATGAGGTGAGAGATAAAAAAAAATTGGGCGATGGGGAACTAAGATGAAAATAGAAAAGTCGAGATAGGATCGTCAGGTCAAATCACAGGGCTGTCCCCAGAATTGGCCATCAGCAAGTTGAAGAGTGGAGCTTAGAGTGTCGTCACCAGTTGACTGCATCGCCATCGATTTTGATCTTGTTACGGCAAATCGGCAACTTTGGCCCTGGTCTATCCACGGGAACCGAATGTTCCGCCATAAAGAATTGCAGTGCCCTGCTATATCCAACTGCAGTAAATGCACCTTTGCCACATGCACAAATGGAAGTGAAACTTTCTGCCTGGCGTACGTATGCAGTGTACGTGCTGAGTTGATGACGCGGATGGAAGGTCCACCACTCTAGGCTGCTTTGAGTTAGTGTCCTCTCATTGGCGCCGCGTCCGGCCGCTTCTAACGTGGTATCACCTTTAATTTTATTACATATGCTGTAGTATAGAGTACTAGCGAGTGCTTACATACTAGCTATAATATGTATCATAGTATTTACATGCGTACGGAGTACACATGCATATACTAGTAGGGGTAGTCTATTCAGGCCCGAGTTCTCTATATTCCGTATCCGTCCCTTCCGACTTTACCTAAATATTTTCGTATTATCCCGTCCCGTATCTATAAAAAGCCGTGCGTAACATACTGGTAGCACAAGAAATCTCTCGGGGAAAATATAACTCGAACTAGAAGTTAGATTAAAAGGAATAGGAGCCTAACCCTGTCGCGTCGGGGAATTTCGAATCTCCAACATACTAGTATACTCCGTATACTTTCATACTTCCCCTCAAAGCCCCCACTCAAGCTTGGCATCGCCCTCCGCAAAATGCCCTCTCACCTCACCCCTCCCATCAGATGCCTCGAATTCGCCCCTCGACCCTCATAAAAGCCTACCAAGAGAATCCGCTCCTCCCACTCCTCCTAAAAGAATGCCGCACCCTCGAATCAGCCCGCAATGAGCTCCGCTGGCTACGCGAACACGCGCTTCGCACCAGCCAGACGCGCCAGCCACAAACAACCACCCCATGGCGAACATATCTCTCATCAATATGCCGCCAAAGATCCCGCGGCTACCCCCTCCAATATATCCTCGGAGACCAGCCATTCGGTGATCTGGAAATCCTCTGCCGACCCGGCGTATTAATCCCAAGGTATGCCCCCCGGTCCCGCGCACACACAGAGCTCGTTCTGACTCTGCCAGACCAGACACCGAGTCCTATGTCCTCCAGGCAGCCAAACTAGTGGAGCAAATAGCTTTAGAGAAGCTATCCGGCAACAAAGAGGACAAAGAGGACAAAGAGGACAGTGATACTACCAATGTCCCACAGTCAAAACCCCTACAGATCCTAGATCTCTGCACAGGAACAGGCTGCATAACCCTCCTCCTACACGCCCTCTTATCCCCGCGCTTCAACCTACGAATAACAGGCATAGACATAAGCCCGGCAGCATTAAGCCTCGCGCGCAAGAATCTAGCCCACAATCTGCAAGCGGGACACCTGACTCACCGCGCATCAACCGATATAAAATTCCACCGCGCGGATATCATGGCCGTAAATCCAAGTTCCAACGGAACGCCAACCATCGAGAATCTTCTCGGCGAATACGTTGCCGCCGAAGAAAGCGATCACGATCACGAGCGGGATCAAGATTCCTCACCTCGGGAACTTGAATGCGATCTCCTAATCTCAAACCCACCCTACATCTCGACGGCGGATTTCCGCAACGGGACTACGGCGCGAAGTGTCCGACTTTTCGAACCGCGACTGGCGCTCGTTCCCGCGCCGAGACCCCATCTTACTACTACTGCAGACGTCCGGCCCGAGGATATTTTCTACGACCGCATCCTGGATATATCATACAGGCTGCGGAGTAAAGTGACCGTGCTGGAATGCGGCGATATACAACAGGCTGAGCGGGTGGTTAGCATGCACACGTCCATGGCGCCGCCGGCGGAATTCCGGGTGCAGATTTGGCCATGGGCTGAGGAGGATATGGCCTTTTATGGGTTTCATTCGAGTGGGGGGGTCGAGGTGTGTTATTATTCAGAGGGTTTGACTGGGAAGTCCTAACTAGCGAGTGAGGAGCCCGAGGGTAGGATAGGTAGGATAGATAGATTGGTGGCTGTGTATAGGGTATCGTGCCATTATCGCTCAATTGCCTCTGGCAACGGGTGGATTTTGGTTGGGCTGGGTCGAAGCGATTGTTTTGGCTGAGTGTTGGAATTATAATCATGTACATAGTAAGAATAATCATCAGGTCACCCCGGGCATACCGAAGTATGGGATACATGCAGTATTCACGTAAGTAGCTACTAGTAGTACTAGTATCATGACCTCGAGCCGTTTAAATAGATCTATACTCGCCATGTACTACGATATTAACAACCCCCCCAGCAATCGTGTCATGAAGCTTTAAGCTAGGAGTTGAAGCACCAATTACGCATGCAAAGTTTGTTATGTAGAAGACCGTATTCAATTTCCATGTGCGCGTCATCAAAATGCATTCTGGCCGCCATGCTGAGAACTATGTACAGATAAAAGGCAGACCAAGGACCCCAAGACGGGGATCCATTTTTTGAGTATTAAAATATGTGTAGTGTGTGCACAGCGCAAAATTAATGTACTTTGACGAAACGAAGGGAGGGGCAACTCAGTCAAGTCAACAAGAGTTCACGCCTCAAAGAAGTTCAAAAGAGAAAATCTGGATTTGCGCAGATCGCAGCTGGGCCAGTGGGAAACCAGAACCCACACGGCGAGAGACTCAGAGATCCTTCTTCGTATCCGCAGAGTAACTGCGGTCATCCTCGCCCTCGACGGTCTTGAGAATCGACTCCATCTCCTTGGCCTGGCGCTTCCACTCCTTATCACCCATCTTGGTCTCGCGGCGGAAGAGCTCCTCGTTAGGCTTGCGGTAGCTACCGCCCAGGCGGTCCCAAAGAGTGGTGAATTGGCCGTAGTTGTAGTTGAAGTACAGATGGTGCATGGTGTGGCAGGCAGCACCGTTCACGACAGGGCTATTGGCAACGTACTCGCCATCGTGAATGAAGACAGTCCAGAGGTTGATAAAGCCGAACAAGAAGACGTAGGCCACCTTCTGGAGCGGGAAAATGAACGGGAAAACGTGGTACGGCACACTCTGCGACCAGCCGTCCAGGGGGTGGAAAGCGTGCGAAGCGTAAGGGCTGGGCATGATCCACTTATGGTGCGGCTTGTGCAGGGTTCGGTACACGCGCGGGTGGTGCAGGCCTCGGTGGATCCAGTAGATGAAGAAATCGGTGAAGAAGATGAAGAAGGGGAACTGCAGGATACTGTAGAAGGGGAAGGGCTCTTCGGCGGTGGTATCGTAGAGTTTGGCGTATCCGCGGACTTCCAGGACGAAGAATGGGGCTGTCAGGAGGGCCATTGGGGGCATAGAGCCCATGGCTTGTTTGATTTCCATGGAGATTTGGTTCTTGAGGAATTTGGGGTGTTTGTAGGTGGTTTTGTCCCAGATGAAGATGTACGATAGGGAGGCGACGACGAAGTAAACGAGCAATCCGAAGATCCTAATGCGTTCAATGGATTAGTATATAGAAACGGGAAACCAAGTAACCACAAAGATGCTGTTGCAGAGGCAGTCTTGCAGAACCAGGGGAAGTGGCGTGGCGCATACCAAGTGATCAAGAAAAAGCTGGTGAATTGGCGGTAGATGTTATTCCGCGGCCAGGCACTGAGATAGGCATACTTGGAGGGTTCCAAGTGAAGCATCTGAGTGGCGGGCTCATAGATAAATGGCTCGGACGCGCCGAAGAGGGCGAGCGAACTGTTGGCGACATTGGCGAATGCCGGTAAGGAGACGGAGGAAGAAAGGGAGGCGGGGAGGACAGAGGAATAGAGGCGATCACCAATGAAGGTGTCCCAGAGTTCTAGAATGATATCCATCTCGAATCACACGGGTGAAGCGAAAGTGGAGGGGAAAGGGAAAGGAAAAGGAGGGTTGAAAAGGGAGGAAGTACGGAGTCGAGGGGGCAATAATAAATTCTGCCCGCATCAGACCAGCGCGGAACGGGGCCTGCCGTTAGGGAGCCCTTAATAAGCCACGCTTGGGGACAGGGGAATAAAAAGATTCCCACTGGGCAGCGGGACCGATCAGCCCAGGGCAGTCTGGTACCTGCATAAGCGGAATCCACTAAGATTAGGAATATGAGAGATATGTATACGGACTACAGAGACTATAACTATTTCAAAATAATACTATTTTGTAGAGTATAGTAGGTGCAGGATATACAGGATACACAGGGTGCACAATGTATAATAATCTGTAGAACCCAGGTAGTTAAGGCTAAAGTGGCAATGGTAAAACTTGAATTATAACATCAGGCACCAAGGTATCAAGGCATCAAGGCAACTATTTTCTTAGTCACTACTCTACACTAGAGTACTCTACACTATGAAAAGTAGTGTAAAGTACCCAACGGGCCGTGCAACCGGATCCAACCTTAGCCAAAGTCTGGTACTGTCCCAGTCCCAAAGTTTCAGTCCCAGTCCCAGTCCAGCCTAATTCCAGTTCCACTCCAGGTCCTTCCAGTTCTTCGCTCGAGTCTGAGACTTCACTGGAGGTTTAGGGTATGATATGCAGTAGAGTATTTTCATTTTTGTTCTTGATATAATTGTTAAATGAATAATTAATTAATTAATTCATTCATTCATTGTATAAATATAAATTGTAAATCTCTTTGATCTCCCTGATCCCTGACGTAGCGTTCGGTGGTACTTAGTATGGGTCCTACTGGGTACGTTCTTGGCCCCAGCGCCAGCGGTTGTTCGTCTATCGCCTGTGGCCTCGCTTCTCGCGCCAACGGCTGTGCCAATTCCACCTCACTTCCCTTCCCGCTCCCCCAACCTCCTAGGTCTTCTCCTCCCCCCTCTCCCTCAGACCACCACCCATTCAACCACTCCTCCACTCACGACTTTCGCTACCTCTTTCGCCACCGTTCGGCCTTATCATTCCTGTGGCTAGCTGCGTGGTGTCGTCCACCAAGCAGCATCGCCGCATCAGTAAATCGCTGTCATCGAGACCCTATCCAGCTGAGCTGCGATCTGTCGTCGCGAGCTGTCGCTGATACCCATATCGCCTGTCAAAAGCCATTTTTTCTACAATAGCCTCCATCACTACACCAGAAGCTTTCAAATCGCTCCACCGCCATGTACAACGCTCACCGCGGGATGGTCCCCGCTCCCAACTCTCGCCTCACGGAGTTGCTGGATCAACTGCGCCAGGAATTTGAGAGCCAGTCACGAAACACCGGTGAATATGAACACCAGTGTAGGTTACACCTCTTTTACACCCGAATATCTTTTCCTTTCAGGTTCCCCCCTCTCAGGTTCCTTGCAATGGGGGGAACTTGCAATCAACCTCTCCCCCCCCCCCTCTCTATCCTCCACACCCCATAAACCGTTGCCATTCTATTGGCTACAACTTCTAGACTGCGAATTTCGCTGAAACGTTGTTTTCTAACTGATAGACGCAGTGACCGGCCAGCTCCAGGAGATGGAGATGATTCGCCAAAAGGTCTATCAGCTGGAGCAGACTCAGATCAAGATGAAGCAAGAGTATGTTTCGTCCCATTGCGTCCACTATGATGGGCCTTGTCGCTGACATTTCTTCGCGCGACAGCTACGAAGGCGAAATCCGAATGCTGCGACACGAACTCGAGTCGCGCGGCGTGCAACCCGTCTCCCATATCGCGCCTGCGCAGCATACTGGCCCCCAGGCCCAGCCTCCATCTTTGGGCCATGGCCCCAGCAATCTATTCAGTGGTATCATGACCAACCCCGGAGGTAGTGGACCCGGTCTTGCCCCTCCCCCTTCCCAGGATCAGCAGTCCGCCCAGCAGACCCTTCAACAGCCTGCCGCGACCGCCCTGCCTGGTGCGCCGCCGCCTCCGCAGAGCTCATTTGGAGGATATCCGCCTGGCGCTGCTGTGAACGGTATGTGAGAGTGATTGGGTTTTCTTTCCGAGAGGCTAACTTGTGTTTTTTTTTCTTCTTCTCCCTTATAGGTTATGGGCCCCCGCCTCCCCCAACTGCCTCCCCTGGCCCTGGCAAGGCCCGTCGTCCGGTCCCCGGTCCTGCTACTCCCCAGCAGACGCACGCTGCTACATACCCGGATCCTCGTGCCTCGCCGCAGATTCCCCGGCCTACCCCTCCTAACCAGCCGGTTGTCCGCGCCGAGCGCGTTGGTAACATGCTGGCCAACTGGAACCCAGAGGACCTTCCCCCATCCCAAAAGCGTGAGGGTTCGGATTGGTATGCCGTGTTCAACCCAGAGGTGCAGCGTGTACTGGATGTTGAGCTGGTGCACCATCTCAACCACGACAGCGTTGTCTGCTGTGTTCGTTTCAGCCGCGACGGCAAGTATCTCGCAACTGGCTGCAACCGTTCCGCTCAGATTTTCGACGTGACCACCGGCCAGAACGTGGCGACCCTTCAAGATGAGAATGTTGACAAGGACGGCGACCTGTATATCCGCAGTGTTTGCTTCAGTCCTGACGGTAAGTACCTGGCTACAGGTGCTGAAGACAAGCAGATTCGGGTAAGCTTCCAACCATGATTGAATGTGTGTGTGTGTGTCTGGATGTGGTTGCTAACAGAATGATGTGATCAATTGCAGGTCTGGGATATTGCCGCGCGCACTATCAAGCATATCTTCACCGGTCACGAGCAGGATATCTACTCCCTCGACTTCGCCAACAACGGACGTTACATCGCTTCGGGCAGTGGAGACAAGACCGTGCGTCTTTGGGATATTCTCGACGGCAAGCTCGTCTACACCCTCAGTATTGAGGATGGCGTCACCACGGTCGCCATGTCGCCCGACGGCCACTACGTCGCAGCCGGTTCGCTGGACAAGAGCGTGCGTGTCTGGGACACCACCACTGGCTACCTGGTGGAGCGTCTGGAGAACCCTGACGGACACAAGGACAGCGTGTACTCGGTTGCCTTTGCACCCAATGGCCGCGACCTAGTTTCCGGCAGTCTGGATAAGACCATCAAGCTCTGGGAGCTTACCGTTCCCCGGGGCATGCACCCTCACAGCGGCGTGAAGGGCGGCAAGTGCGTTCGGACATTCGAGGGCCACAAGGTTCGTTTCATCTCAGCACGCCCCAGCACTAGCACTTCATCGGCTAGCGCTGTGTCTATCCCCCACCCACCCCTGAGAGATCCACTAATTGACTTTCTTCCCGTAGGACTTTGTGCTTAGCGTTTGCCTGACGCCCGATGGACACTGGGTCATGAGTGGTTCCAAGGATCGTGGAGTCCAGTTCTGGGATCCGGTCACTGGAAATGCTCAGATGATGCTGCAGGGCCACAAGAACTCCGGTGAGTCTAATCAGTTAAGAACAGGCAGAGGTTGATGGTTTATGGTTGATCATTCACCATGATTGACATGACATGACATGACGAATGCTAATATCATTTCTCCGCGGACAGTTATCTCGGTGGCTCCCGCCCCAACCGGCAATCTCTTTGCTACTGGCAGTGGAGACATGCGTGCACGTATCTGGAGGTGAGTTGATTGTTTACTCCCGACAATTTCCATTGCTGGTCAATGAAAGCCCTACTAACTCTCCACCCTAGATATTCGAACTATACTGGACGGTAAAAGGGTGCGGATGGATGCCTAGGCGCAATGTGACTTGTTTTGCTTTCTTCGCAGCCATTGGGGCTCGAAATTTGTCGGAATCCTCTCTATTCTTTTCTCATTTCTTATTTCCATCTCATTTTATTTTTATTGTCCTTCCGTTTCCATAGTGTCAGTTTCCTCGTAGGCATAGGTGTTTCCCATGCACTCCGCAATAATCCCCCAGTAGATCATCTACCAAGTGCACCCACATCCCCAAGTAACACAAGGAAGGGACAAAAACCCTCAGCCGACCCAAAAACACCACCCCTGCCGCCCAAATCGCCACAGAGCCTCTCCTCCGTGTCAGACAGGTTCGTGACCTATCGACTGGGATCGACACAGAAAAAGAATCGATCTGCCTGATCTAAGGTCAGGTCAGGTCAGGTCCAGTCCAGTCCAGTCTGGCTCACGCCCCCCTCCCCCTGATCGACCCAACTTGACCACCTCGTTCCCAGCACGCCAAATATTTCCACTCGAATCGTTTTGCCCCATCCGATCCGAGTCTGGGCTCACACTCACCCTGAACACTCACACCCACTAGCCCGGACAGGGTAAGCCCAATGCAAGCAGGCAAATGGTTGCTCGCGGACCATCGGGAGGCGGAGCCCTGGGTGACAGTGACAGGATTCGATGCGAGTGATCTTCGCTGGGAGTGTGGAAGAGGCAGGTCGATCAGTATGGGGGTGGAGCTCGTCACTGCCGTGTATACAGAGTGTACAGCAAGAGCTAAGGCTAAGTCAGGAACCGGTCCTGTCGTGTGGTTCCCCGAGCGCTGTCACCTTTTTTCTTTTCTTTTCTTTTCTTTTCTTTTCTTTTTCTTTGGAGGGGGAATTCTCCTTTGGGTAGGAGTTTGTGAGCAGACACCGATCCCTGCAGGAACAAAGAAAATAAAAATCAGGGAATACGGAGCAGAGCAAAGCAGGTGGGACGCCTTCACTGGCAGCAAGTCGTGCAGGGCATATCCTATGCCCAGTGCCCAGGTATCTTCTGATGTATATTCTTTCCCCTTTGGAGAGGGTCGTATAGAGAGTACAGAAGTACCTCCCCGGAGCCATAACCATAGTACTCCATATATGAATGAGCCGGGTAAAGATCGACGACCATCTGGTCGGATCGGAGTGAATTTCCAGGGCCTTGGGCGGCTAACCAGGATATTCGGATATTCACTGGGGGGAGGAATCGACGCTATTGGCGACTATCGGGCGGGCGCATCTGGAGGGGGACCAATGGGAGTGTGCTTACTGGTGATTGCTACTCGGGACTAAACTTGATTGACTTGATTGACTGGACTAACTGAGACTAACTTGACTAACTTGGCTCATTCCGGAAATTGACCTGTCGTTGCAGATCGGTCCACTTTGAAAGCCCGAAGGCCCGGCCCGCCCTCGAGGGGATGCTTTCTTTTGTATGAATCTTCATAGAAGAGCTTTTAAGAGTGTATATTGTATATCATATCCTCTAGATGATATGATTATTATGTATATATGTGTGTATGTATGTATGTATGTGTGGGAAAACTGGAGATACCAAGTAATATAAGTGTCAGTAAATGTAAGACGTAAATGCGCCAGTCGCGGCAGTTGATATTTACGAGTTCGTGCGACTCACCGAGACTTTTCCCCCCCCCATTTCACCCACCCACCACTCTTTGCCCAGGTGGATTTATTTTTTATTTTTATTTGCTATTTTCCATTTCCATTTTCCATCCCATTTATTATTCATTATTCATTATATTTATTTTATTAATTAGCCCAAAAATGATGCGTCCACGATGCGGGAGTTTTCAGGTCGCCTCATCCATGATCCCTGGGAGATCGCCCATGCACCTCCAGCCTCGAACTGCTCTCCTTTTCTTGGGAACGTCATACAAGATATCTCTTGGGCCCGGCTGATCACCACTAGTCGGCAATCATTCACTTACACCTACTTTACACCTACATGTACAAAGTACATTCACCCACACCACGCACTACATGACCTGCAGCTGAACTCCATCAACCTGGTCCCTGTCACGCCTTGACTATATAGATCGCCCCTGGCCCCAGTTACAAGTTACTCGGCCCAAGTCCAGGCCTGTCTCGATATCCCTCCAAAAGCAACTGCCCTGGACGGAACCCAAATCTCTTTTCTTTTCCGTTCTTTCCAACCTGCTCCGAGTTCGCGAGGTTCATCCTAGCTGTACTCATCCCAAGGATATTCGGATCTATACCTGCTTTTCTTTCGAGCAAAAGCAAAAGCAAAAGCAAAGGCAAAAGCAAAAGGAACTTGAACTTGAACTTAACTTGCACTTCCTGTGAACCCAATTCTCTTGTGGAAATGGAGACTGCCGAGCCAGTATCCTATGAGTTCTCTGCTCAAGGCCATGGCGTGGGCGCATTCCCTCGTCGTGCCATGGATACGCCCCTGTTCCCATACTACTCCCATCCGACCACAACCTCATACTCATTGCCCTACCAGACCCAGCCTCCAGCTGCATACAACTTCGGCTCCTTGAATCATCATAACCACCATAATCACCATCACCAGTCTCCATATCAATACTTTGTCACCAACCAGCCACCACCAGCACATTCACTCGCATCATCCCGTCTGCCCGAGCAACCACCCTCACTACCTGAGATCCGTCCTGCCAAAAATGCCATCAGCCAGGTGTGCAAACCCGAGCCTGGTCCGGGGCTAGGTTTGCTATCGCATCCAGCGGGACTCTCCAAAGAATCCCAAGACAAAAAGGACGGCCCTTCAATCGAGTTCTCCACCGGTGTCGACGTCTTGATGAAGGCGATTCAAGCAAAGCCATCGACTTCCTCACACCCAACACCAACACCGCATCAGCATCAGCATCAGCAATTACTCCCTTCAGTTCAACAACTAGCTCCACACGGCTATCCAACCCCGAACCCAAACCCAAACCCAAATCCCATCTATGCAAACACAAACGCAATGTCCCCACCACAATGCCTCCTCACCAACGAAGGCCAACTCTCCCGATCCGGCAAGCAACGCAAGTATACCTGCACCTTGCCAAACTGCGGCAAAAGCTTCGCCCAAAAGACCCATCTCGACATCCACACGCGAGCACATACCGGAGACAAACCATTCGTAAGTACACGCAATCCAAGACAAGATCCTCGGCTCCCTCTTCAGCATCCAAGGCACTAGCATAGAAGAGAATAGAATAGAATCTCGCTAAACTCTCACAGATCTGCAAGGAGCCTTCATGCGGGCAACGTTTCTCGCAGCTAGGCAACCTAAAGGTAACCCCTCCCACAAGCAAACCAAAGCAACAATCCACCAATACGACCAAAAAAAAAAAAGCTAAAGCTAAAAGCTAACCAAACCAAACCAAACAGACCCATCAACGCCGCCACACCGGCGAAAAACCCTACGAATGCGAACTATGCCACAAGCGCTTCGCCCAACGCGGCAACGTCCGCGCCCACAAAACAACACACCTCCAAGCAAAGCCCTTCACCTGCCTCCTCAACGACTGCGGGAAGAACTTTACGCAACTAGGTAATCTCAAGGTGAGCCTAACAACCCACTCCACTCCACTCTACCCCACCCCACCCCTCCCCCTCATTGCAAATAGAAGGGAAGTGAAGGGAAGTAAAGAGAAGAGAAGAGAAGTAAAGTAAACTAACACAAACCAGTCCCACCAAAACAAATTCCACCAAAACACCCTAAACACCCTAACACACCGCTTCTCAACTGAACACGGGCCCGCAAACCCGCAAGACCGCGAATTATGGGAGTACTTCGCAACCCTGTATAAGAACAGCAACAAGGGCATCAAAGGGCGCGGGAAAGATCGACGCATCTCGACGACGAAGCGCGGGCTCGGCATGGGCATGGGCATGGGCATTATCAAGGGTGATCCGATGAATCGGCTTCCTTCTATGGAGTCGGATGAGGATGCGTCGTCGTCGTCGACAGCGGGGTCAGGCTCCTCCGGGTCTGGGCCCGGGTCTGCGTCCTCGCTGGCGCTGTCTCAGCGGAGAAGTAGTTATGAAGATGGGATGTCGATTTATACGCGTGGGTCCAGTAGTGATGGTGACGAGGGGTATTCGAGTTTTATGCCGAGGAGGGGGGAGGGTGCTGGGTTTAAGATGGAGGGGTCCCATGGTCATGGCTTTATGCATAAATTGGAGGATATGAGGTGATACCAGCAAACAGAATAATATAATGGCTAAGGCTGGATGGATGGATGGATGGATGGATGATGTGGCTAGATTATTATGCTTCGGGCTCAGGTTATGGTTTTATGGATTTTTGGGCTTTCTTGCTTTTGCTTTTCGTTTGTGTTGATGAAGATTATATGATACCACGAGGGGATTGATTTCTTGACTGCGCTTTTTCTTGTCTTTTTTTCTCTTCTTTTTTTCTTTTCGATTTATATTTCTCTCACTGCTACTAACATATTTTCTTTGGTTTCTTTGCTCCCTGTATTCTATCACTGGGATTGGAATTGGGATTGGGATTCGGATTTCAGGGTTCGGGTTTTCATGTAATGGGGGTCTAGGCTGGGAACTGGGATTATATTTCCAATTATTGGAATAGGGATCTCGGGAGAACTTACAGTTGATTCATAGCTTTCATCATGGATTGATTCAAGTTCTATACTAGTACCTAGGTACTATCACTAGGCCTCATCTCACTAGTGGTACCAGACAAAAACCACGGAACGAGACATTTCCCTTCTCTTCAATTATAACATCACATCCCCCCTAGCCCTAATTGCAATACCATAGATGCCCAGGTGTCAACCAGACTTAAGCTAAGCCCAGCAGAAGAGGACAAAATAGGGTTACCTAGCTTGATTTGAATTACTAGTTCGTTGTTTTGTCACGGCTAAATGCAAGAATTTCAATAGTACCATTTTACGTAGGACAAGATTGGATTTGCCCCACGCCCACGGGGCTACGGATACTAACATGCAGTGAAACGAGGAGCGAACGAGGAACCCCATCCTATCCCATGCACAGCATGACGCTCGTGAGAGGAAGGAATATTGAAGCACCAATACCTTGGCCAGGGGAAGTGAATAAGGAAAACCATTGGTACATTTGTTTGCATAACTTACGCCATTCTCAGGTTCGGTTCGGTCCGGTTCTAATATAGGGCCAGCTCAGCTCAGCTCAGCTCATCTCAGCCCAGCCCAGCCCAGCCTACCATGCCATGCCATTCACTGGGCACACTCATTCAATAAATTCAGCATCATCGATCTGAACATCGCCATCAACCCGAGGCCCCTCCGTCCCAACAGGCGTAGCCCCATCAAGCGCATCATTGATAAAGGCCTCCTCAACCCCAGCCTTTCTCCTAAACACGCGCAGCCACCTCCGCCCCCACTGGCGAAGAATCGCGTCCTCGGGAAGATCGCCCGAGCCATCGCCCCGCTCCATCATCTCATCGTTACTCCCCGCGGCAACGGAGAAGATGGCATCCTCGATGAACTTGAATAGCGCCTGCATCTCGACACGCTCGCGGGAAAGTGTTTCGTCCAGAACACTGAGCTGCGGCTCGTAGAGGCCGGTCTGCGTGCGCGCCGCGACGATCTGGCGCATGCGGTTGGTGACCTTGCCCACTGTTGCGGAGATCATTTCGAAGATGTGCGGCTTTGAGAGGATGGTGCCTGCGGCAATGGAGGACGTAAGGGCCCACTCTAGGACGGAGAGCGGGGACAGGATTGTGTAGTTTAGGAGTTTGTCGATGATGTTGATTGCAATGCCGGGCTGGTCGGCCCAGTAGTCCATGACGGAGGTGATGATTTGGCCGCGGGCGGCGGGGGAGTCGGCTCCGACGGCGAGGAGGCGGTCCTTGTTGCGCTCGATGCAGGAGAGGACGTGGGAGAGGGACTTCGAGCCGACGTAGCAGATGGCTGTGACGAAGGCGTCGGTTGAGGGGACCTTGGGGTCTGACACGCCGAGGCCTTGGGCTTGCTCTTCGATGGCGGCGATTACGGGCTGGATCTCCTCGTCGCTGGCTTTCTTGCGGATGAGCTGGCTGAGTTCTTGGCCTTCTTTGGAGTATGGGGTCACTTGGCTGGTGTTAGTTTCGATCTGATGCGCTTGTTTTTGCTAGGAAGGATATGCGGTGACTTACTCTCTGATAGATACTTGAACTCGGGAGTATCCTTCTCCTTGCCCTCGGTGATCAGGGGGATATAAGGCTCCGGGAGCGTACCCTTAATGCGCTGCGCGAAGCTCAGGCGGATCTCCTTATCAAGAGCACCGTGAATAAAAGCCATCTTAGGGTGGATAGCAGGGAGTTCGAGATTTTCAACCCTGAATTGAGTTAGCTTAGCTTAACAAGGCTGCTACAAGGCGCAGAAAAAATTGACACAAGAAGCAACTTACCACTCACTCCACTTCCACGTAAAGCCAAAGTTGCTCAGATGATGAGCGAACCAGTCAAGGAAACGGTTGCTGAGTTCCAGATCCATGGTCTCAAGGTGGTTATAGAGATAACGAATAGCACGGCCTAAACTCGGTGCAATGGCAGCAGGAGCGATTTTGCAGCACTCGGTCAACACCGAATGATAGTAAACGAGCTTGTGCTCCGGGGTGGGCAGCTGGTACAGTTGGGAGAAAACTGCATCTACGGCCACATCCTCTGGTTTCCAGGACTGTCCTTCGCCGGCCAGATCGCGCATGCGGTCGAACGGGGTCGCACGCTTAACGAATGTGTAAGGAGTAAAGTAGCAGTCAATATCAATGAGATACTTGGCTGTGGCAACTCGGTTGAAGTCAAGCAGGTTAATAGTATCTACCAGCGCATCTCTCAGGATAGACGATGAGATGTCCGAAATCGGGGGTACTGTGTAGATCTCTTGTCCGGAGTATACTGAGAGATAGACCTCCGGGAAGAGTGGCCGAGGGCCATTGGGAACGGAGCTCGGGACGGTGATCTGTGGGAAAGGAACCTTGGTCACGATTTCAAAGGGCTTCTGCTCCTCGCTCTCTTCTTGCGCGCTTTTCCAAGGACGAGGCAGACACTTCAGCTCCCAGCCTTGACCAGCTTCGGCTTGTAGTTGGCTTTGCATCAAGCCGATAACACTGGGACCCGCGGCTTCCTTGTTCTCGTCCGGGCTGAATGTATTGACCAGGTCAACCAGAGCGTGGGGAGTCGATGCGATGATATCGGTTTTCTCGAGAAGGGCTGAGGCCTGGGCTTCGAAGCCAGTCGCGGGGGAAGACATCACGTATGGAATTGTGAACAGGATAACTTTGACGAGTTCCAAGCCGAGAAGCTGTGTTCAACCGCATTAGAGTCAAATAGCAATTGTGAGGGAGACAGGTCCAATACTTACATCCTCGGAAGACGCGGATTGGAGATCAGCCGCCCGGGCGAAGAACTCCTCGAGAAGCGGGAAAATACCATCGCCCTCAAAGATAGCTTGCAAGCTGCCCAAGAATCGAATGAGTAGCTTGACTTCGCGCCATGATCCCGCATCAATGTGTTTCTGCAGGAGGTCGCTAGCTTTCTTGAGCACCTCCGCGCTGAGCTCCGGCTTGAGATTGTGAGTGGCCAAGGTGACCGCGGCGACGAAAGGAATCTTCATAGGCTGTTCCAGAACACTAAACCGGGAGCCAATGGTCAGCAAGCCGATTTCCTATTGTGAGCGAAAGCAAGCTGAGGCGTGATCACGTACAGGTCGAGAGAGATGTTGACCAGAGTATCACGTAGCTCCTCATCTTCATAGTGGTCCGCTACCGATTTGGCGATTCCGACAATATCGTCTTCAACTCTGCGCGCAGCCTAAAGAACGCATTTCGCGCATTAGCTTGCAGTTCCTCCGAGCTAGGGTTGTGAGGTACGCGCGAAGGGATCGAGGTGAACATACGGATTCAGCAATCGTCAGCAGTTGGCGTCGGACCTGAACGAAGAGCGGCTCCTCGTATCTGCGTCGCTGGGGTCGGCGATCGTAATCGTCATCATCTGGGGAATGTCGCGTTAGCCAGCTGATGAGCAGTGCCAATGGATCAGGGTGTAGAACTCACCTCGATAGCGGCGCTTGCGCCCACCTCCACCTCCCCTATGGTTATTTTGCCGGCGGTCACGGTCGTAGTCAGCCATTGCGCTTGAGAATTGACAATGGGAGGATTTAGAATTGGAAGCAAGAGATATGGACGGGATGTTCGACCTGGAGCTTCCTTTGCAAAGGGCTCGGAACCGGGTGATTTTCCGATCCGAACGCATCAACAAAATCACCAAGTACAAATGAACACAAGAATGACGACCATGAGATAGTCACAATTACTCGGATAATTACTTGTCATGCCATACGCTTCAGAAATGTTTACCAATGGACTGAAATATGGATACCATCCTAAGGATGTCATTGAAGTAGATACCCTGTGATAAACCTGCTGCGCTGTTTCCTGTGATGTAGACACATGGGATTTGTGAAGGGACAAAGTGAATACCATAACTTTGTATCCAGAGATCCCAGCCGATTTTGCCAGTGCGTGAACCGTAGGCGTTCGATGTATGCATATGCCGAATCAATGGAGGGCCGCTTACGGTACAAAAGACATTTACAAGCTCGGGTGAAACAAGGGAAACCGTCTGCTTCAGAATTGGAACGAGTAGCTCATCTCATCGCCGATGCAGTCGGGAGGGTAAGGGGAGGAAACCAGCCCAAGCCCGATCGACCAGGACGAATGGCATCGCAACAAGGGGAAAAGGGTAGGTAAAGAAAACGAGGAACACAAGTGGTGTTGGGGGGAAAAAGCAAAAGGGAAGAAAATAAACAAAGTTTCTAGTGCTGCAAGTCGAGAAGGAAGTCACAGAAGGCCGCTGAGGCCCGCTATGAGAAAGAAAGCCTCCAGACCCATCGGTGATGCATATCGAATGTCCCGAGTGTCGAGGACGGCTGCATTTGTGGTTTCCTTCCCTCGACCGATGAAGCTATGCAGTCTTCAATCCTGGAAGGCAAACTTGCACAGTTAAGGGTATCACTTTTTCCTCCCAAGAGTTGTCGCAGACACCTCAAAAAATAAACTCCAGGCCATGACCTCCCCACCGTTGTGTGACAATCATCAGCCTCCACCCCAAATCAACCGAATCCGGCTTTCCGCTCAGCCATGAAACCAGATGTCAACCATTCATTCCCCCATCTTTCACGCTCGACATCGTCCGTGACTGATGTAGTCCCGCCATGCGACCCGGCTGATGAAATCAAAAAGAAGTTATACAACCCCGACAGTGTCCGCGGTCTCCGATTCGTTCCTGCTCATGTAATGATGATATTCGGTCGGTGGGCTATCGAATGCCCCCGGCGGATGCGGAACGTAACAGGGAAGACCGTATTCCTTGTGGAGGTAATATCAGATCGCTCAGTCGAGGTGAGCCATCATCTCTTCTTTCGAAAGGGGCTTGAAGTTGTTGATATCGAGGCCACGGGCCTCCAGAGCGGGGCGGGCGTGAGGGGGGGATTAGCTTGGCATTCATATCGGGGGTAATGGAAAGTTCTAAATCATAGTCAGTATAAGCCATTCTTTTGTGCGCCATATTTATAACCAGGAGAGAGAAAGAAGGGGATCGGCGGGGTCAACTCACCATGTTGTGAGAAATCGAACAGGGCGGGAAGGTCCTTGGAGGGGTTACTGGGGTGGCGGGAGTCAGGTAGGCGTGTGTTGGGATCCCGCAACTCGTCGAAGAAGGGGTGAACCATTGCTTCGACCGCCGACAATCGTTGTGTGGGTGTGTACTCCAGAAGCGCCGAAATGAGATCAATAGCCTCCGGGGGAGCCTTGCGGAAGACCTGAAAGACCGGTCAGCATACCTATCCAGCGGGTTGGAGGGGGTCGTGATACGAACCTTATTGAAGGGATGGGGCTTGATCTGAGGGAATTTGTGCTCCATGTAATTGGGGTTCATCGTACGAATTTGCTCACGAGTCGGTGTACCGAGAACCTTGATGATTTCCACCAGCTGGTCAATACCCGACTCACCGGGGAAGAGGGGTTGACCAAGCATCAGCTCCGCCATAACACAACCAGTTGACCACACATCTAGTAAATCACCAAATTAGACCCAGGATGAATCAACTGACGATGGTTAGACAGAGAACTAGAGATACATACCAATCTTAGTTGTGTAGTTGGTGGCACCAAAGATCAACTCCGGGGCACGGTAGTAGCGAGAGCAAATGTAAGAAACATTGGGTTCGTTTTCGATGAGGATCTTAGCCGAACCGAAGTCGCAGAGCTTCAGAATACCAGTGGCTGGGTCTAGGAGAAGATTTTGGGGCTTGATGTCTCGGTGGCAGATTCCTTGGGAGTGGATGTAGGCCAGCGACCGGAAAAGCTGGTAGATGTACAGCTTAACCTCTAGGATCGGCATCGTCGTCTTTAGCTTGTTGAAATAACGCGAAGCCCGATACACCGTCTCCGGGACATATTCGAGAACCAGGTTGAGGTACACTTCATCTTTCTGCGGCGAAGGGAGAGACGGTCAGCGGGAGGAAAGGAGAAGTGCCCGGGAAGAGGGCTAGAGAGTCGTTAAGAGTTGTCGTCACACATACCCGGTCGCCGTTGGAGTAGTAAAAGGCCTTAAGTTCAACGATGTTGGGGTGGCGCACGATACGCATGATCTGAAGCTCGCGGTTCTAGAGGAAGAGATGGGTGAGTGTTGGCCACGCAGAGGGAGGGGGGGATTTGACATCCGGTTCAATCCGCCCATACCTTGAATCGCTTGTCCTGGAGGACTCTCTTGATGGCAGCGTCCTCGCCGCTGGGAGCCATCTTGGTCTGGAACACGACACCGAAGGAGCCATTGCCGACGATCTTGCATTGCGTGTAGGCGATCTCCTTGGCTTCACCGGTCAGTCCATCTTGGACCTTTTCGCGGATGACCTCTGGAGGAGAGAAGAGAGATGAGTTAGTTCAACTGGGTTCCCATAGGAGACACAATTGACCGTGCTGGGTCAAAGGAACGGAGGGGATGGGACAGGAAGGCGAAGGGAAAGGAAGGTGAGTGTTGTCTTACCACCCATGCGCAAACTTGGGATCAGCCCAGGCCGACTCTGTGACATCGCTGGGAGGAAGTACTATCAAGAAAGAAATAGAGAATCCGTTTTGGGTAGAGGTCAAGCGGTGGAGAAGCTTAGGAGGGGGGGAGGGGAGGGGAGGGGTGGGTTGGGCGGAAAGTCCGAACGGGGGTGAGGAAGAAACGACGAGAGGTGCCAAGAGAGAAGAAGAGGAAGAGGGAGTGAGGTGAATGGGTGATGGGCAGCAGCAGGTGGTGAGCCAATGAGGGGAGATGAAGAGGGTTCGATGGTGGGCGGGTTCAACGGGACACCAAGACCAAATTCGGGTTCAGGGCGAGTCGGAAGTGACGTTGTGCCCAGAATAAGTGGTACACCAGATGAACTCCGTGTAGAGAGTTATGAGTGGGTGTGAGAGTGTGAATGTGAGTGGATGGATGATGGAGGGTGGAGGGGGGGGGGGAATAAGAGGGGCCACTTGAGAAAGAGAGGGGGGGGGAAGCTAATGGGTGTACGGGGGGGAAGAGTAGTAGTTACGGGGGAAAAACGGGGGAAGAATGGATTGGGAATAGAAAGTGGATGATGTGTGGGAAGGAAGAAAAGAGAGAAAGAGGAGAGCAAAAAGTAAGACTTTACGTGGACTGTAAGAAAGAGAGACAAAGAGAGGGGCGGTGATGAAGCAGTACGATAAACCTCCGGGTATTGGGTTATGATTGTATAAGATCACTTCCCAAGGGTTAAGTTATATGAACTATTTTTGGTGAGGGGGGGCGAATAACTTTGGAGATGCTAGACTCCAATCTGATCTCTCTGGGATTTTCTCCATCTTCCTTTATTCCTCTTTTTTTTTTCTGTTATTTTCCCCTCCTCTTTCCCCTCTTAAAAAGAAGGAGCTGGTATTCTCTGGGGGGGGAACTTTCCCCTTGTCTCTACTGTACGGAGTTGAGTAGGGGAATACGGTATAACCGATACCGTACCGTAATTAGCGGCGGAACATGATATCATCGCTGCCGGGATTGGATGAAAGTGAGAGGTGGAGGATTTCCCTCATACAGAGTTCTGTATTACTGTGTATTTTATACAGTGTATGGTAGGGTAGCCAAGATATAATTTACTAGTAGTACTAAGATCAAGATGAATATAAATAACTCTAGTACACATAGTGTAAACAGTTTATACTACTAGTATACTAGTAGTTATACTAGACAGCTGTCACTAGCACTACGTACTACTAGTATAAACTGATATCTGCAAGTCGGGTGACCAGCCGTGATTTTCCCAGGAACCACCGTCATTGGCCCCGCCGCCCTCGTGACCAACACGATGTCATCGAGTCCAGCTGACTTGGGAAGCTTAGACCAGCCCCCGATCCGAAAAGCTGTGAGCCCACGGTCTCGATCGCGGCTCGCTTGCCTTTGCTTTTTCTTTTTCTTTCTTTTTTTGTTGCAAAAAATAAATAAATCTTATTTGGTCCCGCCATGACTGGACTCATCTGCTCCCATCAATCTGTTCGTCGATCTTGATGCCATGCGAGATACGGCATGAACGGGACCCGGCAGCCCAATACCGCCCGTCGATCGCCGACCATTCTAGCATCCCGGTGCAGGGATCCCCTTGGCATGTATGGACAAAGTGATCTCAGCCGACGCCTCGCTCCGAATGATTGGGATTCCAGCCACTGCACCGGGATGGTACCTGGGTAGCCGGGACTAGGAGCTGGGGAGCTGGGACCTACTGCTGCGTGATGCACAGGCGCAGGCGCAGCAGCATTAGCAATAGCAGCTGCTGCGCTTCGGCATCGGGCCATGTCTCGGTCTCGAGCAATTGAGGAATTGGCCCAAGCCGGAACCGTTACCGTCTCTCACCGAAGTTGAGGCATACTTTATATACTCTACTCTGTAGTTCACCTACAGAGTACACTCAAGTAAAAGGCAGAAAAAAGTCAAGTACCAAAGTAAAGTAAAAGTTGAGTAAAATCTCTGCAACTCCCTGCCTACAGTCTCAAGTAACTTTTCCCCTGATGTGAAGGATCCAATAATGAGAACTCAGGGCCGTTGAGGTCCAGCTCCCCTCGAGCAATGCAGACGGTACTGCACCTGGCTGAAAAGGTTAATGTTGAGAAGCGACCGTGCTGCACCTGCGGCTTCGCGGGCCTTGTACCACTCCGTATTTACCATGAGATAACCCATAAAACCAGACTAGAGTATCGATTTAGCAGTACCTTACTCCGTGGTACCTTAGCACCTTAGTCAACTGCTAGTCCTCTCTTTCTACCTCGCACTAGAGCCTGTTGCGGCGATCGACATCACCAGACCTTACACTTTGCCACAGTTCACCTGTCAGGCGACACTGCTGTCATCCCCATAGTGACGTCTTCTTTCCTTTGACCTTCAAGTTTACCCTGGATCTTTTCTCCGGCTTCTGTACGTACTTGCTGACACTGCCACTGCTAGTCAGCTAACTATATACTCTACTCTACTTTTACTACTGACATATTGAATATTTCATCTATCATAGTCGGGACTGACCTTGGACTGTTCGGGCCCAACTAACTCGGAGCCACGAACCAGCCTTCATTCAATACTAATCCGGCCCCAGTAAACCCTGGTCATCCATCAATCACGATCCCCCGTACGAAGTGTACATCAAAAGTAAAAAAGAAAATCCACTTTTTCTTCTCTTCTTTTGGACGGGTAATTCCTTTTTTTTCTTTTTTTTTCCCTTTCGGCGGTTGGATTCTCAGATTACTTGCTGGTTCTCTCGTTGTTGATTTTCTGGTCGCCTTTACATTTCCGAGTGGACCTTCAATTTCCCGCATACCGTTTCCCTGCACCGATCGTGCCGTGTTCCTGAACCACTGGGTTTCGCTCCGGCATGGGAATTGAATTATGCATCCCCCATTCCCATGCACGATGGCTCGGACCCGAGGGGGAATGTCTATTCTACTGTACATACACGGCACCGGCATGTGTTTGTTTCCCTTACTCTTCAGACATGGACTTATCCGTATATTCAATTCGCAACATTCATCCATCCTCTTGTCAGACACGTGGGCCATCGCACATTCCCGAGACACATACCAGAGAAAAGAGGAATTTAGAATCTCATGCTCTGTAGGTACACGGTGCCTTTTTTTTTTTCCGCCTTTCGCCTCAAACCTGGGCGCGTTGGCTGCCAGCCAGGTACATACGAGGAATGCCGACGCAAAATATGCGAATCATGATTCCCGACGCGGCTTATTGGCTGTACTCCCGAGATTGGGATCCGATTTTCCCTTTCCTTTCACCTGTGTGTACTCCGTACTCCGTACAAGTATCCTTTTCCCATGCCCATTGTTTAAACCAGACGGGGCAAGGCACTAGCAGGGACGATCTGCCATTGCTGGCGACGATCCAAATACACTTGTCTCTCGCTAGGTATGCTATTTACTCCATCCAGCACGGGTCTTCCGAACCGTATCGCGTCTATTGGAGAGCCCATGCCCTTTCGGGTGATGTTGGGCTCTTCAACAGCGTGGAGCACGGCCCATAACGTCACTGGCCGATCCATCTGTCTGTCTCTGCAGTAGCCCTGTCCAGTACGAAGGACTTGCATCGTAACTACCTAGTAGTTCCGTAGCTACGGAGTAGTCAGTAGTGTAGTCACTCCAACCCAGGCCATGTCACATGTCGTAGATGCCCTACAGCAATGCCCTACAGCAATGCCCTACGCCAATAATTCGTACACGGGGTTCTATTTCAAAAGGTCCATACATTCAGACGCACGTACCACATGTGTCTACTACTACAGTAGCTAATTACCACGCCAGGGGGGGCTCCATCACTCAACTTCACACGCGACATCGACTAACTTTACTCCGTACCAACGGGGCCAACCACCCAAACCCATTCAAATCATTCTCCCTCCAACGGGGTTCAGATGCAAGTGGGAACACTATCCACAATCAATTTCAAGGAAACGAGGAAATTACCGCGCAGGCGAACAAGTCCCGGTCACCATTGGGCGATTTCCGGGGGTGAGGAGGGTCTCGGGCCCCCGCCCTCGAAACTGTAAATCCGCGATTGTTGACTTCGCACCTCCCGTTCATTTGATGGTCTCTGTGGCCCCCGCAGGAAAGGCCCGGGAGGCCAATGCAGGTCGACAAACCCGGAGGACGGACGAGGTCAACGGCCGTACCATGATGTCAAGGTGGGATGGGGCAAGCGGAGTAGATAGAAACCATTACTATATTTCCATCAGCGATGATGTTTTGGGAAAATCCAGAGTCCCCCATGGGACCAAGAAAGCCAGAAACAAAAGCAAAACAAGGAGAGCCAAAAAGAAAAACGCCCCCAAACTTGTAGAATGCCCCAGCCACATATCTCAGTGGCAGTATACTTAGCACAAAGCACACGAGACACAATCCCTGCTAGTGACTTTCCACTTCTGCTCTGTCGCGGATAAATCAAAGCCACCAACTCAGGGAGCCAAAAATTCAGTCAGTGGCCCAATGATCGCGCGGCCGCGCCCCCCTGCCTGCCCTGGAGCTGGGCTGGGCTGGGGGCAACACACCCTCACTGACCCAGGCTTACTTACGCCCGCAGGACAGGTTCTCTCGCCTGTAAAACCTTGGGTCAAGCGCTTTCAACTGGGGAGTGGGGACCAGCAAGCAGGCCCAAGACGGGGGAAAAGAAAAAGAAAAAGAAATCCGCCGAGGACTGGGTGGGAATGGGTGGGGATGTCCCACAAAGCCGAACAGAACGGTTTGCTCTGCGCTGCTCTGCTCTGCTCTGCACCGCACCTATTCTGCGTCTGTCCTAGGAGATGCATAAGACCTTGCCCACATCTGCACTCCGGAGTCTTTGGGCCATCGTTGGCGGACGCGGGTCTCCAGCAGCCCACTCAACGACCCACATTGTTCCACTCGCCCAAGACCATACAGGGCGTTTTTCTCGGTTGCCTCGTACACGCACCACAAGGCGCGTTAGGGTAAGGTGGTGCGTGCGGGTCAGGTGATACGGCGCCTCGGAAACTGGGCTGTCCACCTGCCGGGTCGGGACTGGCCGGTT